AAGAAAAATAAAAGCAGGTCAGCTCATTTTTCTTCTCAAACACACCACTGCTGATTTTTAACGGAAAACCACTACAAAAATCTTCCTTAATTAAAGAGAAAAACTAAAAACTTTCCAAGAAAGGTAGGTGAAAAAAAAAATTAAAAAAAAAGAAAGAAAGATGATGGTAAAAGAAGAAACAAGAATCAAGGCAAACAAAGCAGACCTTAGCTGTTGGAAATTAGGAGCTCTGTCTGTGACAAAGGAAAGAAGACAACCTATACGGCAAAAAGCAAGCGGCGGGGGGCGGTCAAGTCCTTAATTTGCTTCAAGGGCACGGTGTATGTATGTGCGTGCCTTTTTAAGAGAGTTTGAATAAGATAGAGATGGAGATACAAAGATGTGTGGATCAGTGCAGGGGTTAATTAAAGGAGATTGATCACAAACCTAAGATGGGAACAGAAATAAAGGAAAAACAATAAAAAAATGTAGAGCAAGAGAAGAAAATGAAGAGGGTAATAGCATACTAGTTATGTCTTTTGTGATGAGGGTATGATAAAGCTTTGGTAAATGTCCTTTGAATGGGAGACCTTAGTCCCCAAAATCGCCTCATTAAAGTGAAGAAAATCTGCTTAACTGTCAATTACTGATATCAACAGATTTTTTAATGCATCCCCATGTATCTATTTGTCAACAATTGTGCACATAAATACAAAGAGTCAAGAGTCAGAGAAAGAGAGAGGAATGAAGGAGAATTCTCCTTCTATTCCTTTTATTCCACCTTCTATTCTTCTATCCCTGTCTGTATGTTTCTCTTATCTTACTTTATTTATTTCTTTTTAAAATAATGTTCTTTTAATATGAATTAAAAAACCAGCTAGGCATCTACCTAAAAACTTTCCAAAAGATAAGACAAAATGTCTCCCGTAATAAATTATATGGTCCAATTTCACATATTGCATGTGTAGCCAGACATAATTAATTAATTAGTAATTATGTATATACACATCAATCCATTTTAGAGTTCTTCACATTTTGTTGTTAAATGATGACCACCTTTTTCTCATTAATTATATCTGATGTGTTAGCATGGAATTAAGATGCCATTTGGTTGAAGTGTTGGAAAATTTGCTTGCAGTTTTATAAAGTTAATTTGGTCTATTTGCCACTAAAAGAGAAACAAGTCTTAATTTGTTCTAATTAGCACTGCAGGTATGATTTAATTTCTGAAATCTGCAATATAAAGAACAACGCCTAATTAATAATTTGGTTTTATATATGAGAATGAAATATTATTATTGGCTAGCCAAACATAATTAACAACCCTTTTTATTTTGGTTTGAAGAAAATTTATCATATTTTAGTTCTATGAATAAATATGAACAACAAATCAATAAGTTGTTAGCCTACCAATAAACAAGTTGGTCTCAATATAAATTCTTTTGCTAATATGTAAGAATCAAATCCTGAAATTGTATCTATTAGAAAGGGTTAAATCTAATTGTTTCTGTTCCGAACAAGGTTAATCTTATTTTTAATGTGGGATGAGAATACTTGAATAAAAAAAAAATGATAATAAAAAAAGATTGAGAAAATGAGAGTTAATTAATTGTGTTATGCATTTAATTAGCCCAGACTTCATTTGAGAAGAAAAGGAATAATAGTAATAATAGTAAAAAAGTTGGGGTTCAAGATTTCTGAACAACCTCCGGTCAACCCAAGGGATAGGATCCAAAATGGCCCTTGAATCATGTTCAATGAAATATGGATTGCATCAAATTCAGTGCAACTTTATACTATATGACTCCGGGTTCCTAACTATATTTTAGTTCTTCAAAAAATGTGGATTAATTAATTTTGTAACTATGTAAACTCTTTTCTTTTCGTCTTTTTGGCGAGCGTGCTGTGAATTGAAGTGGACAGCTATGAGCATTGTCCTTCAGTGTGTAGATTGGTCTCCATGATCATGAATTAGTATTATCTGAACCGAATTGGTTGTTGAATGAATGAATCGGCTACTAAACCGATTTGATTTTCGAATTGGATCATTTAAACAATTGATTTGATCAAACTCGAAATGAACTAATTTGCACCAACGACCTATGATCCGATTCTGATAATATTACCATGAATAGTATTGGATCTGGCTCAACTACAATGGAATCCAACACCATTACAATTACTTGTATAACTTGTTTTTATTTCTACTAATGCGAATGCGAATGCGAATTAAATTTCTTTGTTATCTATTATTTTTTCCATTTCAACTGCGTGAAATTTTAAACTCGATCTATCACGTAAGATACTTCCATTGACATGTACATGTCAAAGTCAGGTTAATTTCAGCTCAAAAACTCATTTACTACTTAAAAGATTTTCTTCCAACCATGGATGAATGAGGGACTGTAGCTGTACGTATTTACCACTCCCTTTAATTCTATTCTGACGCCAGAGCAATCTAGTAGTTTATTTTTATTATTTTTTTAATGTTTATGAATTCAAGTTCGCTTCTCTTTGAGAAGCTGTACTCGAACTTGTAACCTTATCTTTAAAGAAAGAGGGTTGCTATTAGTAGAGTTAGAGCTCCATTAGTGGAAAAATTATTAGTTGATAATTTGTCAAAAAGATATTAAGTGACGTAATTTTTCACATGAAATATCCAAATAAATCAAATACTGTACAAATTTATGAATTAACCAGAAATCTTTCAAGAAGAAAAGGGGGACATGTAAAAGCTTCTGGCTTTAATCCAGGTGAAGGTCAGAAATAGACAACAACGTAAAAGAAGATTGATGAGCTTTGCTTGTGATGAATAGGGTGTGGAAAAATGAAAGAAAGAGCTAGCAAAACCCTGAAAGTCCGTGGCATTTACACGTGCTGATCCAACACATTTTACTCAATCCAAGGCCTCGGTTCTATTAATTTATTACAAAAATCTCAGGATTTTTATTGAGTTATTTCACTCCCATATGGATTCTCACGCAATCTCTCTCTCTCTCTCTCTCTCATATAATTAGAAGACTAATTCATTAATTCACAACATTTACACAAATATATATATATATATATATATATATATATATATATATATAGTAGTAGAAGTAGTAGGGATTCCTGGTCAAACACGGTGAAGAAATTACACTAACCAAAATTATAATGGTACTTCATTAATTATAAACACATTAATTTGCATTACATGCACATGCATTTATTTTTCACTGTTATTTCATAAATTTAACAAATTAAATGGATGTGGTTTGCTGTGCCGTTGCCTTTACGAACACTACTTCTACCACTGATACTACAACTACACTTACATAACATTAATGTGCATGGGGTTGGGGTACGTGGCTTCATTACAAAGGGAATCCTATGACTATCTCTCCCCCAATATATATGCTTATATACGAATCAATTCAAAGTCAGCACTCCCTTTTCATCTTTCTAAGGATTTCGAATGATATAATGTATAGTTACCGAATTTTAATCACGGAGAGAGAGCTGTGGGTTTTTTTTTTTTATTCGAATATGAGGTCATCCTCAGTCAATTTGCCAATGTGCCTTCACAAAGACCAATTGTTTGTTATGTTTATGGCTTTTAGCTATAGTTTTCGGTGTAAGGTTACTATCTTTGGCTATTGTAGCTGTATTTTTAATTGTAAAAGCAATGTGCTGTGTTATACTGTTTTTATGCGTAATTGTTAAATCCAATCCGGAGCATGGATTGGTCGGCTACCCATATCATCAGGTTATTGGGTCAACCTCTACCCATATGGTTCTTTTATTTTGAAGAAAAATATAGAACAGTCATTAAAAAAAAAAAAAATGATCCAACCATGTTTTGATCGGGTCAATAGCTTGTTCGATTTCATTACAAACTCAAACACCTAGATTTCAGGCTGTCAGGTTTTAGGTTAATCCGTCAAGCCAAATCAAATTTGACAACTATGTTTTTATGCAATTTAAAAGCTCAAAAATATTATTTTACATCTCCTAACTTTTAGCTTTTAAATAGTCAAAAAGTTTTTTTTTTTTTTTGTTAAAGCCAAAAGCTCAAAATTACCAAACGGCCATCAATTCAATTTCCTCAGTTTGATCAATAAACAAGCTATCCATATAGATTCAAAAAGAAAAGAAAAATCCATTCTCATAGCCTCGACTTGGAATTGAATTCTAGTTAATGAATGGGTAACATACTAACTTATCACCAAAACCAACCTCACATCTCAACTTAACTTTAAAAGTAGACTTCGAAATTCCTTAATTTAAGATTCAAAAATTCCAAGTGCATAGTCATGCCTGTAACCGACTCTAAGAAATTTAGTTAGTGCAGCGATATAACTTATGTAGGCCGGAAAATTTACGCTATATATATTTTTTTTCTGTTAATTATTATTATTATTTAAATGCAAAGAAAGGGAGTGTTGTTCTCTAGCTCAGTATGTGGCCGTCTCCATGCATGAATCAGACACAAATGTTGGTTCACGTTGCATTAACGTGTCTTACCTCACCGTGACGGGAGAGGAACCCCATCTACGCTTTAGTAGTAGAGGTTCCAAAGTCATACCTCATGCTTGTCTTAAGATACAGCACACATCCCTACAACTACTAGCTGTATAGACTTAGCTGCAGAATGCGTGTGTTCTGTAGCTATAACTCTATATATCCTAAAAGTACTTTCAAATTCATTCATGTCGTGTGATGAGTGTAATAGAAGAAAAGCTATGCTGATTCAAAGTGCTTTCAAATTCGTTCATGTTCTGCGATGACTGTAACAGAATAAAAAACTATGGTGATTCTAAGTGCTAAAACTCATTATTACCCTCTTTTTTTTCTTTTTTTTAAGGAGGGTTTTTTTCTCTTATTTCTGGTTTAAAAAATAAACTCATAAAATTACTACTATATATGTATATATATACAATAGTTATTCTTGAGAATTATAAAATTTCTTCGTCATGCGTGTGTGCGCGTGCGCACAAATGAGGAGTTGGGCAAAATGAATAAATTCAACCAATTGATTCTTACGATTCAAACCTCTTCGTGACCTTTAAGCCAGGAAAACGTGTACGCTCCTTGGGAAATAAATAAAAATATAGGATCATTAAGTCCTCCCACTTAGGACATTAACAACTTAAGAAAATACAAAACTAAAACGCATCTGATTAACAGAGTTAACGTTTTAAGCACCAAGGGTAAGCTGTAACACAACGTTACAGACCATGGCAATTGACAAATCATGTTTACAACGATTTTCGCTTCTGCAACCACATGTGAGCCTCACTCATTTCATATAGGTTCCCTAGGTATCTTTATTTGAGGAATACCTCTTCTGTTGATGTGAAGCAGTTACTGTTCAACCAGACTACTCAAACTCAACTCCATTCCATCATTAATCAGCTTGTGTTGTTCTAGCACACTGAAGGAACATAATAGAAGCAATAGACATTCTTACAGTAGAACACGAGGTGAAAAAAGGGCCTAGAAATCCACAATTGCATAGTATCTATGATAGACATTTGAAATAGCCTGTCCTGACTACCCTTATCAATATGCTTGTGCTTCCTAATTTATCAATTTTGATCATATAGCAACATTTTGAATTCATCCATGACAGCTATTGATGCAGAAATAGACATAGAAGGAATTGAACAATTAACAACCAAACTAAGTGACCAAAATTGTGTAAGCCAACTAAGTTTCGCGACCGTTCCATTATCACAAGATATTGTGAAAAACATCAGATTGAGCAGGCCAACTTACTTTCTGATTTATTTTGTTCAGCACTAAGGTCGCTGGACATGGCAGAAGGTATTCTGTGACGTTTCAAAATTCTGGAAGTGGCTACTTTTGCAGACTGATAATTCAATGCAATTACCCTATCATCATCCAAATCAAACCTCAAGCTCTCTGAACTACAGTCCTCGACAAGTTGGCACAGGTGCTTCAAATTGTCAATTTCTACTCCATTGACTTTCTTAACCTGCCCAGCAACACAGTTGTTATTTGTCATCAGACATTTAGTGTCCATAAATAACCATTGCATATGGTACGACATAATTATTTAACAGATAAAAACAAAAAAGACCATTACCCAGTTATGTCCTCACCGAAACAGGAACCTAAGAAGAAGAGACAGCCCTACACTTCAGCATTTTTGCATGAAGCAACTGCTCTTCATACCTGAACCTGCAACATTGTGGTTGCAAGCTCAAGGCTTTTATCATTGCACCAAGCAATGACCCCTATAACATATAACTAATGATCCATAAAAAGAAAGCTGTTTCACACTGAAAGCATATTTGTAAATTAAAATTGGAAATATGATGGCACCTGTAGTTCTGAAAGACGCTCATACCCTGCATTTATATCATCCATGAGCACCTGAACCATAAAAGTGCTTGTCAGTAAAGACGCATTAAATTCAACATGCAAAGGACGTCCTAGCTTTACTTTGCATTGTAGTCTCGTAAATTTATAAAACCAACAAAAAAAAAAAAAAAACACCAAGAGGGAAGGGAAAAATAGATGATATGACGTCATTCTGGCGAAGTTCAATATGTTTGTCAGCGAGATTTGCAATCTTAAAAGAATATTGAGACAGAAGGCATTAATGAGATCATACAGACTGACCACCAGTTGTATCTTTCTAAATTTTAAATCTTACATTAAGATAATGATCTTTTCAATTTGATTCTAGGTTCTGTCACATATAACCGATCAGAACTTCTCTTTAAAGCTTGTTAGAAGATCAGAAAATTAATTCAAATCTATAAGGTACAACCTAAACAAACACCACAGCAGCTTTTCTTTCCATGGGAGAACAAGCAAGTTAGAGGACCCCGGTAGCTACAAAGAAATTGTGATAGCCATCTACAGACATCTTTTTTACATACAAGTTTTCAACTCTTCTCTAGATTGCAATTTGATTCATAGGAAATAACTCCAGTTCTGTGAGCTCCCTTGCAGTTGTCAGTTTGGACTTAAGATTTGTACTTTCTAACTGAATCCAATAACCTCAAAACTCATGGAAGTCAGAACATTCTTGCTAAATAAGGTTGTACCAAATTGCGCTTGATAGTAAGAAGCAGAAATGCTCCCAAATTGCCCTTGGTACCAAGTAAGAAGCAAGCATACCTGAGAAAGAATAATAAGTTGTTGGCCAGCCTTTTTGGGTAGCTCCTTCAATGCACGTTCACATAATCGACGAGGTGATGTATTATACCAATCTTCTCCATACTCATGAAGATATGGTTGTGTAAGTGGAACAAAGACCAGACCAGCAAAAATGTAATAACTAGGAAGCTTATCGAATTGATGAACAGGAACCAGGGGCTGCAACTGCAAAGTAAAAAAAAAAAATCAGAGATTAATCAAACTATAAGCATGATCCAAAAATACAAAAAAGAACATATTCATCGATAATACAAGAATTCACGACAGAATAATTGCAGTTTTATATGATACATTGTATGACCAAACTCAGGGAAATGCCATAAGATATGCAGGCTCTCCAAGTAAAAGAGCTAACCCAAAAGTATCCAGTGGCAGACAAGAAATTGAAAGTTTTCATCATTGAATTGGTAAAGTTCTAGAAGTCATGTTTCTCAAATATATTGATTTCAAATTTCAAAGCTGTTGTGCCTATCAACATACACCTGTGGTGGATATGACTATCAGCTATAGCCTGTCCATGGATTGATTATCATCTTTATCCATTCCATTCCAAACAAACAGGTCAGACATGTAAGCAATTATGAAGAAACCATTGATTTCCTAGGTGATGGATCACAGGTAAGGATCACTGATCATCACAGCAATAATGCAATGACACACAAGCATGTGCATATGTGTAAATAAAGGAAACAAATCCATCACACAATTATGAAGTTGTTGCTTAAACACAGAAGAGAATCCTAAATATGTCAGTTCAAGGATGCTTGCTGTTCTAAAGATTTATGTCGGTCCAAGGATGCTTGCTATTCTAAAGATGAATCTGCAAAATAAAGAAATTGTTCGATATAAAAAAAAAATGAAAAAAATATAACTATGACTTACAGGTCTAAGGGTGATACTGAATTCATGCTCTTCACCACCCCTCAAAACTCTAACTGAAGCTGTTTCATTGGGTTTCTTCATAGACACCAAGTGATCAAAAGTTATCCGTTCTCTGTTTCGAAAAGGCACTGCAGAATGTGCAAATCAAATTACAAATTAAGAGCACAAGGGAAGTCACATGTATCAAAAGAGCACCACAAGCAAAAACATGGAGTGGCGAGTAAGAAAAGGAAAAATTATATAATCCTGGAAGCAATCTAACAAATGACACTAAGGCCATCGCCTATAAAGACCATATTACTCGAAAATGATGCTAGCCCACTGAGACACTGAGAGCTTGAGTTACCCTTGCGATTGAGAATCCGAAAAGGTGATTAAAATAATGCACAAGACATTAGAAAACCATCAGAAGTTAGTTAAATGACTAGACTACGTCATACAATCCATATTATCCAGTACTTGCACCTTAGAAGAAATGGCATGCTGCTGAAACAGTCCCTAACTTCCCTTGCTTACAAAAATTGATAAAGGAAATTTACTTGATGGGCACAGATCATAAGCATGATACATCTATCAGAGATTATCTAAAGGTCACAGTTTTAGGTGTTGGTAAAGTACAAACACTCACCCAAATAAAAGTTATAAAGTAAAAACACTCACCCCAATAAAAGTTATCATGCTACATAGGTTGAGTGTTTTCAAGTGCCACATTCTGCGTGGCTCTAGCACAGATCTAAGAGAGTGATGCTCAAAATTTATTTTCTAGCCATCTTCTAACCTGAATTTTCAGCCCACAGTAAACTAACAAATATCTGACATTATATGTTAAACATGGTATCAATTCATTAAACACGACCAAGTAAAATAACCTATAATAGCTTTTGCTTCATGAACAAGCCATTTTACAATCTATAGAACATTGATAGCTGAAGATTGTAAGGTTAAACCATCAATCACAATTAGCTTTTGCCAAAGTTAAACCAGCTTGTTGATAACTCCATCCATTCATCAATGTGGTTACCTCATCTACTGAAATAGTTAAAGAAGAGAAGATGAAACCAGGAATCCCTGATGAAGCTAATGGCGACATATGGCATTAAGGATCTAGGGTGAACCAGATACAAATGTCATTAATACCGAATAACTGATTAAGTAATAACCATGACTACCTGTTCCATCATTTGCTATAGGTATACTGTCAAATGCAAGAATAATATCATCTTTTTTCAGTACTCCATGTGCATCTGACAGCGGATTAATTTTGCTCACAAGTACCCCTGTCATTTCGGGTCGCATACCAAAGTGCTTTCTCAGTTGAACATTTTCAGTTGGTTGGCATGATAGACCCATAGAGCAGAATCCAACATATATTCCACTTTCTTCCACACCAGATATAAAATGCTTGATTACTGGAACAGGAATTATATAACTGAAATACAAAAAGGAGAAAAGAGTTAGCTGAAATAGTATTTATATGATCACAGCAAAAAATGGATAGCAAAAGAAGTTATGCTACTACAATTAACACCCGTGTTCCCAATCAATACCAGGGAATATGTTATCTCTAGAATTTCCCAAGGAAGAGAGGAACATAGCATTAAGTTAAATATAAACTTCATTTCCTATCACTATATTATTTCAGAAAGCATGAAAATTTAGATGATTTGACATCCAAACCAAAACAATAGTGAATAGAACTCACCCAATATTCTCAGCACCTGACAGGTTCTGGAAAGCCACACCGGCAACTTTATTGCCCATTATTGCTGGACCACCACTATTCCCAGGATTTATGGCAGCATCAATCTGTATTGCCATTAACTGGGATGCTCCATGTACATATTGTGTTGGTTCAACTCTGGAGACGACACCTTTGGTAACAGATATGTTGTCCCCACCTGCAGCCAAGGAAGGAGATCATGATGTGTGAAACTAAGCGGTCACCTTATACTCAGACCGAGTGTCAGCATTCTGCATATGACAACAAGAAATATCGATTGGTATCATTTGTGTATGTATGTGTGTGTGTGTGGAGAGAGAGATGCTAGATAACTATCTGCTTAAAGAGTCTTTTCTGTGTGCATTAGTGATGCGTTATATTGTTACCTTGAGGATAACCGACAACTGCAACAGCTTCCTGCAGAAATGGGATGTCTCCTAGCTCCAAGAAATTCATACCCTCCCAGAACTCTTCATTCTCAACAACTAGAATAGCTAAGTCACATTCATGACCAACAGCTTTCACTTCAGCTCTGTATTTGGTGGAAGACCCATGCTTTCTTACAAGCACAAATGTATGATCAGCCACCACATGAGCATTTGTAAGAATTTTTTTTCCAGTAATAACAAATCCTACAAAAAAAAAAAAAGAAGGGAAAAAAAACCATGACTTGGTTGTCAAAAAGCAACTTCTTATAACTTTTGATTAGAAAACAAATCTGTATTTATCAGCTTCCTAGTTTGACCATGGATGTTTCATGGTTTAGTAAGACGATTTCTAATTCTACATCAGATGCTCATACTCAATAGAGAAGAATTTGAAAGGTAAAATATAAAAATAGATGCTTTTAGCGGCATTAAGAATAACCATCAATTCTAGCCACAACAGAGAAATTAAATTCATAGGAGCATGGTAAATTTGACGCTGAACAACAGCTTATATCTCCGAATTCCAGCAATAATGATCAGGGATTACAGTTACCAATTGAAATGAGAGGAATAGCGCTAATTAGGTATTCTGTGGATTATGCAAATAAGTTTAGAATCGTTTATCATTGTTAAACAGTCCCGATAATCCAATCACAATTAAAAAAAATACAAGTTTGTTTGTTGCAAATAGAAAGAACAATTAAGACTCAAATAGAAAGATGGTGAAAAAAGAAAGCTAAGCCTTAAAAACAACGCTTCCAGTTGTGATGTTAGCAAATGTGCTACTCGATGTTAAAGGAAGGACCTAGAAAAGAATCAAACTTGGTAAATATACTAAGCAGTTGTCTTAGAAATGGCAAATGGCTAGCTTTTTCATGAACACACTCAATAGAATTTACAACTCCAAGAGCTTTCATTGTCTCAAAAAAGAATACTTTCGTAACAAATACACAATTAACGAAACATTTTTGCTCAGACACAAACATGAAGTGAATAAAATTTGCAACTTGGAAGAGAAACCCATTAACAAGGTGTGTAAAATCATCCATGTAACTACTAACAAGGTGTGTAAAATCATCCATGTAACTACTAGAATGATCCTAATGGAACTATACCAGAGTCTACCATGGTTCTTGAATTAGATAGAAAAGAAAGGGCCAGAACTACATACCAGAACCCATGGTTTCACGCTGGGACTTATTTTGCCACGGAAGGAAGTAATTGGGGCTGCTTGCAACAGTAAAAATCTTGACTACAGAATCCAATGCAAGCTCTATTGCGGAATATGCATCACTCAGCTTTGGCTGTAATGCCTCCTCTACATGATTCTTAGTTGTTTCTGCTGCGGCTGACGTTATTGCTGTTGCTGTTGCTATTGCAGCTGGTGCTGCTGCTGTTGTATAATGGAACGAAAAATTATTGAAAAGAACAGAAATGGCTCTGTGTTGGGTTGCTTTCGAATATTTTATTAAATTTGATGGCACATGAGGGGAAATATATCCTTCTCTAGGCAACAAGTTGCGGTTTCTGATAACAGAGGCGGTGGTGCAATATGAAGAAGAGCATAGCTTCCTCACTGCACGAAATGATGAAGACAACATGGTCCTGCTTGCCCTTGACCGGACAGCGGCTATCACCACCCCCGCAACCAAGTTTTGTCCCTGTAAAGAGAAGGGAAAGGAGGGAGGAGGGAGGAGAAGAAGGTTGTCCTAATAGGTTGGTTTTCTCGAGTACGACGAGCAGATTATGGTTTGCGGCCCAATAAACCAGCATTATTGGGTTGTGTATTCGTTTTTCGGTTTGAGCCTAAAAAATATGTGTATTTTTGGCCCAAGAAAATATGGTCTGGGCCTGCATTCCAGCTAGGTTACATGGACTTTTCTATGAGCACGATGAGAAAGCATTAGATTAGGCTTTCAAAGAGATTGTGGATGAATAGATAGGTTGATTAGCATTTAATAGAAAACATTATATTTTTTATATTCACACAAAGTTTGAAAGAATCTACGTGAATAAGAATAACAAGGCACAAATATACTATTTTTTCAAAAAGGATAAGTGATAAAACTAGAATTTAAGGTCATCTTCTAAATTGAATCTCTTTTGAATACAAAATAAAATAATATTAAAGTAATCGTAGTTATTAGCACTGATTAAGAAATTAATTAATTAATTTTTTAGAGAAGATAGACCTTTAAATTCATTTTGTAAAACTAAAGGGATCCAACTATAATTTTCTTACTTTCTATAAAGAATGTTACAAGAGGTATGACAAGCAACTTGAGTTGGAACAGAGATTCCAAGTGTTTCATTTCATTTTTTCCCTTGTCTTCTATGTTAGGTCACGACATGGTACTATAGATTTCTAGTTCCGAAGGTCTCAAACGGGAAAAAAACATGTATCAAATCAAATGGGGTGGCCGGATGCTTACACCATTGGCCTCTAAGATTCCCTCAAAACTACTCAAAGATGCCAAATGTATAGGCTGAAAGAATCTGTCCTTCTGTCTATTGTATGCTAATAATCGATACCCCACTACTTGGGAGTTTGGGGGCCTTGCGTTGGACTGGCATGGACCCAAGAAGACATTGCCGGCCTTGGCTCCACTTGGCAGTCCCTACATTCACCTTCATATATTGGAATATACATTGCCACTTTGTAAGTAGTGAACCCAGCACCTGTGTCCTTGCAAGCCATTTCATTACCTTCAGGAATAGCAAGCTGATTTCAAAGGGAACGCTCAAAATTATGAAAGGTAGTAGCAGAAAAGTCCCTGGCATGCCATTGATTAATGGAAGGAAGGACAGAGATGAGGATCTTCTTCTGTTCAAGGAATTGCATAAACGTGAAAAAGATCGGCATGCCAGTCTCCTTCAGCCTGTTTCTGATGAGTTTGAGCCTAGTTTTGGTGGTAAGTTTGTCTGTACATGGTCTTACAGAAACAAGGTCCTAAGAAGCGGGATTTAGTACATGTTATTAGCACATGAAGCTTTTAACTTAGTTGTAGAAACGCAGGGAGCCATGCACTCTACAGAATTGCATCTGGCAGGAAAGGTTCTGGATACGAAGTCTTTGGCGAAAAAGATAAAAATGATTATGACTGGTAATCTGTATTTCTTTTCCTTATCATTTTAAGCTCCATGTGTGTGGCTTTCACAATAGTCCATGTAGTCAAACCTGTAGGAACTTACTGATTTGTGTGTTGTCCTGTATTTATACACGAAGGTTGAAAACGCCGCCAGCTACTCCTCTGTTTCCTTCTCTTGAAATGGAAGCAAACGCCCCAGAACATGTTGTCCAACGGGAGATACCGATAATTCAACCTCTTTCGAGGGTATGTTTCTCTTGAATTAGTAAATCAAAAGAAGGATGTTACATACTATGGCCTATATCTAAGACAAATCGAGCACTAGTTTTTCTTCGTAAAGCTGGAATTTGATGTCAATGAAAAAACGGTTTATTTGAATTGATTTTTTTTTCAAAAAACTTTTAAGTTGACAACCATTTCTAAACTCTAATGTTGCATATTCTAATTAAGCATTAGCGATCAAGGTAATAAATGATTAAAAAAGCTGTACTTTTGCTTTAATGAGTTCAGAATCATCATAATGTGGGCCTTGAGGTGATTAAATGTTTTCTTGGCAAGCAGTTTTCAGACAATTCAGAGGCATTGAAGAGAAGCACTGTAAAACTAAAGAACCCAAATTCAAAACCAAATAAGATCCCTCAAAGATCAGTCACCCCAAGTCAAAAACAAAGAATCTCATCGTCAACTGAAAATAAGAACAGCAAGGCAGTAGCACAGATTCTGAACCAGAAAATGGCTCAATTCACAACCGATTCGAATAAACAAACAAATGTCATTACAAACCCAGCCAAACCCACTACTGACCAAAAAGCAAGTCAAACAAATTTCCTGTCGTCGAACCTTTCCAAGGATATAAAAACAAAGCCAATAAATAGAGGTGTGGCTGCTTCTGACCGGTCAACAATTCCAGCTCAAATTCTAGGATTTTCCAATGACACTCCTCCTAATCTAAGGACAGATCGTGCAACTTCTGCTACTAGGGGCAGACCTGCTGCAGCCAATCCAACAGCATCAGTTCATAAAAAACAAGACTCCACTCCAAGACCAAGAAGGCAATCCTGCTCGCCAAGTGTGACAAGGGGTCGAAAAGAGATAATTGAAGGAAACTTGACCACTCCAAAAGGGAAAACTCTAACTGGAAGCAATGGAGCTCAAATTTTCGGAAGCAGAATGGTCGACAAGGTAATGAATGCTAGAAAATTGGGAACTGAAGAAAGAGAAGGCAAGCCGAAGCAGCAAGGTGCTACTAAATCTGCTAATAGTAGTGCTAATGCAAGTCCTAGCCATGGTTTTGGCAGGATGATGATGATGACTAAGAGTCAAATGGACACGGCTTTCAAGCATATGGTATGGTCATACAGCATATGGTATGGTCTAGTTCTATCTCAAGCAACTTCATACTTCACATATTAATGTAATGATTCGCTGGTTTGCAGGAGATAACAAGAGATCGGATCACTTCTCGTCACCTTGGTATTCCCTCTGGACGAAGCTCTGGTCAGAATTAGCTCGACTAGTTTAACGTTTGGTATTTGCATATGTATATGCATGTAAAAGAAAAGAAGACATGCAAAACCTCAATAATTCTGAGATTTTAGTAGAATTTAATTGAGTATTGATACTTAAATTTCAACGTACAAAGCTTTTTTTTTTCTTTTTGTTAAAATAAGTTTTTCAGAGGCAGAAACTTTAGTTCTTTTGTGTTTCTATCAAGTCCATGAAACGTTTAATTTGTTAAAGTGGGTAGAAATGAAAGATCTTAATATTGATATTCATTATTATCTTTGAATCTTCGATATGTATCCAGAATTAATTGCAAAATTGATTTAGAAAAACTATGGTCGCAAAACCCGGATTGCTGCCCTGAAATCACTTGTTGACTCTGGACATGGCAAAAGGTTAGGCCCAATTGTTTTGGTAAACCACCCCTTCAATATTATAAATTTGCCTACTTATGTTCTTATAATGATCAATCGATGTATAGTGGCGACCAAAATCACAGATAAAAATCTTTTTTCCCCTTAGTTTCTTTCCTTTTCCCCTTTTTTCTTGTTTACTCCAAAAAAATTAAAAAACCTATCGGACGAAAAGGCATGGATATTATTTTGATAGAAGTACGATTATGTTGGCATAAAAAGAACACTGCAGAGATGCTGCAGCACCGAACATATGGGAGTTAATTAAATTCTAATCCTTTTTTAGGTCCTTTAGCTTCAAGGGCACATAATGGAAGATAATTCTTGCTCCATTTTATTTTTCCATTGAGGCCGACCCTTTTTGCCTCTTCTTTTTCCACTCAATATTTATTTATTATCTAAATTACACCCTGTGATAACTAAATAAAATAAAATTATTAGGATTCAAATTACTGAAAGAAGTTATTGAATGTATATTTTTAAAAATTCACACTACAAGAGATTTATTTTTTCTTTTTTAAATGATCAGGTAACCTGCCACCTTTTGCACAAAGATACTTAATTCCTTCTTGATGAGAGTTAAGATAAATGTACATGAGTTAGGAAAATATATCATATTTATTGAAACACAAGAAAAATGAAAAGCTTGTGTACCAAGATGAACTGATCATGTCCTAATAATTTAAACTTTTAAGTACAAAATAATGTTCATACATGTATATAAATTATCGTATGTGTAAACTCTTATTGTGCAGATCTCCCCAAACAATAAGATTTAAGCAGACTGTTCAAGAAAGAACGGTTTGGTGGAGAATGATAGATTTTGTTTATAAGGATATAATCGTAAATTTCGAATCCAATTTTTTTCCAAACTCGTATGAAAGCAAAACCCTTGCCATGGACCCTTGTCCGTATAGTGGATACAGCAGTTTGTGGAATATAATGGCGGCCATTGACCCAAAAGATGAGATCCATATGGGCCGAGTTCTTGCGTGCAATTAATTAGGATTAGAACCACAAATACCGATTTTCTTCAAGAATGAGAATGTTGATAACAACGTGTTGAAGAGGCGAGGTCAATAATTTTTTTTTTAATGAAGATTTTAGGTTTATGCAAAAGTAGATAATAACTTAGATTTAGGTCTTAAAACAAAATATTATGTTGACTATTTATATTTTCAATTTTATATAATTTAGTTTCAAAGAAAGTAGGGGATGAGTTGGCGTGATTTTTTTAGCTCAAAAATAATAATTAGCTTAGATTTTTTTTTATTTATTTATAAAAGAATAGATACGTAGGTGTGCTATTTCACAATATCTAGTATGAAATATTACATTCACACTGTACATTGCATTTATATTAAATCAAAATTCAATATATGTTATGATTATATGTGAAAATATAGATGTATGAGTAACTATAAATGATGATAAATAAAATTCGAAATCTTAATTTTGTAAATAAGATTTTATAAAAGAAACTCATTTATTACTGTACCACTCACGACAATAATTAGCTTGATTCGAATTACAATCTTAACTCATGTTTTTTTTTTTTTTTTTTTTTCAGGCTTTCTGCTTTCGTTTACCTTGAGAAATGGGTGTGTTCTTAGAGCATTTAGTTTTTGCATAATTTATATGGTAGCTGAGGAAAAGATCTCGTGCAGGCTTGGTAATAATACCGGGGTCTCCTGCTGTTTTGCTCTATCAGCCCACCATAAAGTGTTTATCTATTTATCAAGGAATTTTGGTTTATTAAAAAAACGATACTAATAATTTTATTATAATTTAGATAAATTGATCAATAATTGTCATTGTATTATCCCTATTAATTTCTGCAACATGTTCTTGAGTTTGTAAAACATGCAATTGAAATCTTTTATTTTTCACATATTTTCCAATAATTCCTTTTGTTATTTGTTACGAAAAAAATGCCCTCGAGATAAAATAACACTAATAATAATAGCTTTTATTTTTTTTGCGGGGTTGTCAAAATCTCCTTCTCTTCCCTTTTTTGGTTTTTTTTATTTATTTATTTTTTCCTTTGACATCTTTCTTAATTTCCAAATTGATCGATCTAGGCTTTTATAATTCAACATTTGAGAATTCAATTGTTTGATTTTAAAGTTCGGAGACATGTTATAAAATAGGCTCAGTACTGTACAAAGTGCAGATTCATAGCTTTTCCTTTATTATACATAGGGACGAATGATCTACCTACATGATTTAGTTCGGTCAAATTTACTTACATTTGTTTATGTGCGTGTGTGTTTTTTCTTGTTTTTTTTTTTTTTTTTGTCATGTCTAAATGCAATTACTCAACACATTAAAAAAAAAAAATCATGTACATATAAATGCAATGGTCTCGATCCGATGCAGCATATATACCCCCTGTTTTCCAAATAAAATCCTCCTAAAATATCGATAATATATGGACAACTAGAACAAGAAGATTAGATTTCATAGCCTAAATTAATTTCAAGCTGGCTTTGTAACTAGCTATTTGAGCAGATTAATTTCTTCTAAATTAATCATGGTCCTTCCATCAACTTGTATATAAAGAAGTGAATATTTTACACAGTCTGCATCACATCCAATTACCCTGTGTGCAGGTCAGTAGTACTTGGGTTTGAATTGCTCTCTTGTCCTCCGTTCTGCGGCTAGGCACCATGGTAGAATCGGAAGGCAAAGTTCAGGCACGTATGTAATGTACAGATTCTTCAATATTTTTTTTCTTTTTGGTTTCATAATGATGTTTATATTCAGATCAGTTGATATATCAATAAAAATTATGTTTTTTTTCCCAACAATTTTTAAATATATTTTATACATCAAATTTAGTATATTAAAAAAAGGATTTTTTTACCTCAAAAATTAAATTGTTCATAAAGATAAAGTTAAATGAAGAGAATAAATAAATATTATCAAATTAATTAGTCTAACCATAAATAGATTGTCTTGATTAGTCAAAACTAAAGTTCAATTCTATTCACGAATAATTAGTTATAATTATTTTTAGTATTACTAAGTATGAGTTGATTTGATATAAAAGAGACTTTAGTGATTGAATTTTAATAGTATTAGGTTTAGATTGATTTGGTTTTAGAAAAAGTGTAGCTGTACATCAAAAGTTAAACGATCTCTTGATCTCGTTTAACTCAAGAAATTATGATCTAAAAATATCTCATTACCTATAAAAAAATAGAAATTAATAAATTTATTTATTTTTATTGTTAATCCTTCTAAGATTTAATCTGGTAACTTACATCCATAAAGCCATAGAGTGTCCAGTTTATTTTTTTCCCCTTCTCAATTAGATCCATAGTTATGGATGCACTCAAGAAAAAAAACTATTAATCCTCTCTTTTAGTATTTATAAAATAAGATACAAAGCTTATTTCATTGCAATCATCAATTTTTGTAATTCATTGTCCTCTCTTTTTTTCAAAAAAAAAAAAAAAACTATAGAGAGCGCTTGATGCACTGCGTAGTATATGTATTGTGGCATGGAAAGATGGATTGGAATTGGAATTGGGGGCAGAATTTGCTGAATATTTAGCAAAGCAATTTACCAATTCGAAACAGCCAAAACAAACACAAAAATGATGGTAATGTATTAATGAAGGAAGGAGAGGAGAGGAAAGGAAAGCATTTAATTACGATTTCACTTAAAAAGAGAGATGGTTGGTACCTGGGTGCGGGTGGGTAGGGGAGGACAGAAGCTCAACCTGAAAGGCTGGTATAGTTAATAAAAACTCTCAAAAAAATAAAAACAAACAAATAAAAAGATGGTACTAGATACTAGTAGTGTACAGAGAGATTAAAGGAGGAAAGGTCATGTCAAAACAACACAACATGCTCCAAATCTCTGAAAGGAGTCTGAGTAGGGGGAAGAGTAATAATAATAAGAACAAACAAACACACCCCCTCTCACTCTCAATCACTCACTCATTGCTCTCTGTCTCTCTCTCTCTCTCTCTTTCTCTCTAATTCACTCACTCATAGCCTGTTTTTGCTTTCTCTCCGTCTCCTTAGCCTCTTCTTCTGGGGGGACTTTCCCCTTCTCCCTCGCTGATATTACCTCCCATACACTACTCTCTCTCTCTAGCTAATTCTAAGACTCACTCTCTCTCTTTTTCTTTCACCAATCCCCCCTGCACCTTAGCCGCGCCTGCTCATCATCATCTTTATATGCATATTCTTGGCCATTTGTTTCCGGCTAAGAAATAGAGAAGAGACAAAGATCCCAAAAAAGAACGACAAATTTGCATGAACCCTTTATTATTACTGTCATCTTGCATAATTACATCATTTTCACTACAGCAGGCTTAATAAGAAGAGGAGGGCCTTCTTCTTCCATTTTTCAACTTTCAACTAGCAAGGTAAGACTCATTAGAAAAAAGAAAAAAAAAACGAAAGGAGTCGGAGAAAAATACACAAATTGTGGGTGTAAAAATCTTCAGAAGCTTTGAAAGATGATTCTCTTCGTCTCTTTTTTATTTTGTTTTTCTTTGATAGGAAATGGTCATCATCTTCATCCATCAATAATGGTTGTTAAAAGTTTTTTTTAAAAAAAAGGTTTGACTGAAGAAATCGAGGTCACACACCCACAAGCAGTAATAGGACTATACTCCTTTACCTTACCTATCATATCATATCCATCGTTTTCTAAATCTTCTTTTTTTAAAAAATAAAAAAATAATAAGTGTATTCTATGAATTGATCTCCCCGGACAAAGAGAATAGAATTAAGGAAATTCTTCATCCCGAGATCTCACACAGTTGGAGCCAGATCATTTTTTTTAAAAGCTTATTCTTCCCCTTTATACCTCTATCTTTCCTTTTCATCAAATTTCTTGCATATATAAATTTTTTAATGTTTCATTTCCTCTAGCTAGCTAGATAGCTGCTTTTTATATAAGATATTGTTTTATAACACATGGCAATATGGGTTCATCCCAAGATCTTTCCATATCTCTCCCAATCTTAAAATGTCTCGTTCATCTTTTTGAGGAAAATGAAGCAAGTTTTTCTACAAAAAAAAAAAAAAAAAGAAGAAAGAAAAAGAAAAAGAAGGAGGAGGAGGATAAGAAGAAGCAAGTACTTGGAAGCTAGAAAATGATGGCTAGCATTTGTATGAAATTCAAGCGAGATCTACTCCCCAAACCTTTCCATCGAAAAGAGTGAAACCCAAAAACTTTACTACACGGGATCCAATCCACAAAACTCCACTGCTAAAATCAACCTCTCCGCTTTCTTCCTTTTTTCCTTCCCCACCTGCCCCCTTCCTCCATAAACCCTACAACCTCCCCTTAAACATCACACTTCTTTCTTTCTTTCTTTCTTTCTCACTTCTTTCTCTCTTTCTCTGCAGTTGTGTTTTCTGATGCTACTTAGGGTTTCTGGGCAGCAGAAAAGGTGTAAATTTATAGACATAAACATGTATAAGTAGATACAGAGAAAGAGAGGAGAGACATAAATGTGTTTTTTGGTAGCCGTAATTTTCTAAACTAGAAGATTCCATCAGTTGCTTAATTTATGCTGATAGACATATTTTGGCCATATATACGTATATACCCTATCGTATTGTATACTGGCCTTTTTGAGCTAGATCTCTGAATCTCCAGCCAGAAGCAGTAGAAATGTTCTGATTCCTCAATCAGAAGAGTAAAACCAGTAATTATAGGGCACAGATCCTGAAAAGGGTAATCTTCCCTATTTCAAGAGTCCTATATGCAGAAACTTTTATTACAACATATTTATCTGAGTTGTCAACTTACCGTTTCTTGTGTTCTTACATATTTTTCTTTCCATAGTTAAATTGTTTGCTGTACTTTTTTGAGATCCCATCTTCTAAATTAGTACATCCTCAAACCCTAATATTAGGCATCGCAGCCTCACCGCCACTTGTACCTTTAAGATTGTATTCATTTGTATTCCATCCTCCAGCGATTCATTTCATTTTTCGTCAGCTTTAATTGGGTTGTTTCTTGTGCTTCACCTAGTTAGATACTAGGCTTATTACTTACTTTTCCATTTATGATTGCTTTTATGTCAAATTGAGAAAAAAATTCCTCAAATTTCTTTAGTTAAATCAAAGTTGGGGTTTGCTGATTATTTCTCTCTCCAGCCGTACGTACGTTATGGTACTTAATGTAACTTTTATTTTGGTGATGAATATAACTTGTTGTACAAACAGAAAATCACACCTTTTTATTCTTCATTTCTTCATTTGTTTTTCATTTTATTTATGTACTAAGGGCTTTTGATATTTTGAATGATGTTTGTTTCCATGTTTTGATTGCATTTCAGAGGAAAAGGTGGAAGATGGCTTCGTCATCGAATTCTCCATGTGCAGCCTGCAAGTTTCTGCGGCGAAAATGCCAGCCTGAATGTGTCTTTGCTCCCTACTTCCCACCTGACCAGCCCCAAAAATTTTCCAATGTTCATAAAGTTTTCGGGGCAAGTAATGTCACGAAGCTTCTCAACGAATTGCACCCTTCTCAGCGCGAAGATGCTGTCAATTCCTTGGCTTATGAGGCTGACATGCGCCTCCGTGACCCTGTTTATGGCTGCGTTGGTGTCATTTCACTCCTTCAGCACCAACTTCGCCAACTGCAGATGGATCTTAGCTGTGCAAAATCCGAACTCTCCAAATATCAGAACTTGGGTATCACTGGCCATGCTGGACTAATTGCAGCCGCAGCAGCTGCAGCGACAGCCACAGCTACAACCCATCACCACCACCATCCGCAAAATCTTGGAATCAATTTGATTGGAGGTGGAGGTGGAGGTGGAGGTAGGGATCACCACTACCACCACCAGTTTTTTCCACGGGATCAGCAACAGATGATGAGGAGCTTCGATTCTGGGAATAACTATGATGCAAGCCTTCTTGCTATGAATGTCTCTGCAAGTATTGGACAACTTAGTCAGTTCCAGCAACCTAGAGCCGCTACTGGAGATGACCGCCGCACCATTGACCCCTCTTAGGGTTTCTCTTCCAAAGGTAAAACGTTCATTTGCCTCCTACTAGGCCACTGTTACTACCGTGTTTTTGTTTTTTCATTTTTATCAGAAGTATGGTTTTATAATAGTAGTAGTAGTAGTAATTAATAATAATAATAATAATTGTAGAGGATTTAAATTGAATGCACGATAATGACGAAGCTAAATTAGGGCTGGGCATTTATGAATTCGGATTCATGAAACTAGGGTTCAGAAAAAAAATTAATAAATTAGAAGTTCAAAACTTATTGGGAAATGATGTATCATGTGTATCTTGTTTTAGGTTGACTTGGAAATTTTCTTTCATCTGCAAGTTTTGAAATTTTGACTGGGTAAAAGGGTGAATAAAACAGAAAAAACTTGTCATTTTCTAGGGTCTTCTTCGATCTTTAGTTAATTGTGTTGGTTCTTAATTTGGAGGGTTCTAATCTTCATAGGAATATTGTGTATGTTTCGATGACAGATTTTTTCTTTTTTCTTTTTTTTATGAAAGGACAATTCTACCACGACTTTGGATTATTTACCTAACTTGGGATAAAGCATTTTTAGTTTTTACGTGGATAGAATTCTTCCAAATGTAATATATAGCACAGTTGTAATTAATTATTTATTTGTTTCAGTTTCTATAGTAAAAAGAGAGCATGATTCGAACTGGATATTTATCGAACTACAAGACATCGATTAACAGTAGCAAACACTTTCCTCTGTTGACCAAAGTGTCTACCAAGTATTATTTGTAGACTGCAGAAACGAATTATAGCTGTCAAATAATGTTTTATTCACGAACACTGTTTCTTGCACACAGTTCAGACCGTATGTCTCAGACTTGTTGTGTCCTACTCCAGAATTAGCCTTCATTCATCAAATGCACCCGATTGTCTGACCCAGTAGTAAACTATCATCTCATGGGATTCGAATTTGACACCACATGTTCATTCATTCTATATAGAACGAATTAAAATGTCAGCACATGCGACATTTTGTTTACCAAATAGCCTACATCAAGCTTTCATATTCATACTCTTCTTTTCTTTTGGCTTGACATGCAGGGCTCCACATTGAAGGGATCGATTAACTCTTGATCATCAGCAAAAAAGAGAAAAATTCTATCTCGATCGAATGAATTAATACTCCCTTTTTCATAGAAATTTTTACTACGCGCGTCTGAGTTTATATATGCGTCTCTCATCTGTTTCAAACTTTCTTGTCATCTTGTTGCTGCCCCTTGAAAGCAAAATATATATGTTTTCCATGCCAAAAATGTACGTACTTAACTCTTCCAGTCTCACTGTAGCTAGCACCATTAGTTTGCGGGGTTTTGCTTCTTACAATGTGCCTTGGCTGGCAGGCATGGTCTGGTTTTTGTTCCCATCCTTTGAACTTTTTCTATTTAAACAGCGAACACAGGCAGCAATATAATATATTTGTAACTTTGATAATGTTTTCTTTTCCCTTTTTCTCTACCATTTGATGCTTCTATCATGAATTATTGTTGTACATGGTTGCTTTAAATGATGACTCCTCAATTTCTGCTAGTTCGGAATCCCATGTGAAGCTTGGTACCTCTGGTACTTCAGATGATAGTGACTTCGAACAAATTGCTCTAAAGATTTGATATAATTAAATTGGTTTTGATGAACGAATCTTGATTTATTTCAATCTATACACGCACACGCGTAACTCTAGCGGCTGAGGCATAATTTAATTGGTAATTGTACTTTTTGTGTAAAGAGGATTTTTTTTTTTTTTTCAGGTACTCCTAAATCACCAAACTACAACAAACTGAGATACATACATGTTCTATTCCTTTTTCATCTTCATTTCATCGTCAAAATTTGATCTCAATTTGAAAGGTTAGAAGCATCACATATATAACCTCAAGAGATTGATTTGGAAGAATGAAGGACGCCAGCTCCATTTTTTGAATTAATGCACCACGCCAATGTGGCACTGCCTTCAAAATCTTTCGAAAAAAAAATTAATTTGGATGAACTCATAAACTAATTTGAAAATACAATCCAATAACAAAAAAAAAAAAGGCATCACCTAGGATAGCTGAGATGATAAAAATAGTGTGGGTTTATGTAGTAAACTCAACAACTTTTTTGGAAATGGGGAATTTTGAGATGAAATAGTGTGCAAGATTTGTTGAAGTTTTAATAATTTGTTTGTATGCATATATAGCATTGCTCAATAACGATATGTTATGGGCTTCATAGCCTCTATTTCTTTTTTTTTTTTTTTAAAAAAAAAAAACAAGTAGATAAAATAAAATGATATTTTTCGATAGAGAGAGTTTTTTTTTCTTGCCCAACCTTCGATTTTTTTTTTTTTTGATATCCAATCGTTAATTTCTAATGATTTGTTACCCAAGTTTTGATTTTTTGTTTGTTTTGGTATCCGATTTCACCTAGGTTTCAATTTTGTTTACTTGTCTAGCAAAAGCTACCACGTGGCAATCAAACACATGCCACATGGTAGTCAACTATAGACACGCTAGCACCTCTTGCTCTAAGGTGGTCGTGGATAATCAAATAGAAAAAAAAGTCAAAAGTTAAGCATTAGAATAGAAAAAAAAAAAAAAAAAGGTTGGGCACCAAAAAGCAGCTTTTCAAAAAGTTTATTGTCTTAAGATTGCAAAATCAGTCCAACAATTTCTAATAACTATTTTTCATATCATGCTTGTGACATTTGTTTTACCTATTAAATGTAATTTTTTAATACTATATTATTTAAAAATTATTTTTTAAAAATTCTAAAACCCTTTTAGTTGCTTAGATAATTTTAATATTATGTCATTTAGCCAAATATATATAAAGTCCAATTAAGAGTAAATCTAGAAAAACAAAAGACATATAAGATCCAATTATGATTTTTATTTACAGAACAAATGGTTGGTCAATGAAGAAATTTACAAAAAAAAACAAAAATTGCTTCTTCTATCTAAAAAGGAAGATCGACCAATATATAATGGGTGACATAAGTTTTTTACCGCCAATAACTTGTTAAACTTTTTTATAGTAAGTTGATATGGGATAGAATCGAGATGCATAAGTTTAGTGATCAAACTTTTTGATTTGGACGTTTAAAATGTAATATTTTTTATAGCTATGACGATAATGATAAAGGCAATAAATAAAGTATGAATTAAGCTAAGACATAAATGCAATGTTAAAATTGCTTGTGTAATTAGTATGATAACTAGAAAATATACATGCATATAATTACTAATGTTCTTAAAATTTAAAATTATATGACATTTAATATCTAAAAAAAAATTGAGATATACACACACACACACACACACACACACACATATGTGTGTGTGTGTGTGTGTGTGTGTGTGTGTGTGAAAGCACAAGATATGCATGAAATCTATTTATGATAAGGAAAGGATAAATCAAAGTAAAAGAAGAGGATAGATATTTGGTATGAAAAAACTAAAATTAATTTCTTGAGAAAACTATATTTTAGGTGTCCAATCATTTATTTTATTTTTTTCTCGTTCGGGTGGCCAACCTTTAATTAGTTTCTATTTCAATCTCTAACCTTTGATTTTTTTTATTTGAGTGCCCACAACCACTTTAAATGATGAGGTGCCGACGTGCTTGGAGTTAATCGCTACTTGACACTTTTTGATCGTCACGTGGTAACTCTCGTCAAATAAGTCAGCAAAATTGAATCTCGGATGAAGTCAAACACCAAAACAAACAAAAAGTCAGAGTTTAGATAGCAAATCAATAGGAATCAATGCTTGGACACTAAAACGAGAAAGAAAAAAAATTCAAAAGTTGGACACCAAAAAAACATTTCTCTCTTGTTCGATATGAAACATTACACTTACATTTTTTTTGGAAGAACTCTCACCATACCTTTTTTCTACTTATTACTTATTATAAAAGGATTTCTTCATGGAAAATTATGAAAGTATAATCATTGAATACAATTTTTTCAAAATGGAAAGTAATGGTTTGTTTGGTTTACATTTAAAATAATAGAAGAAATAAACATATATAAGAAATTAGATGAACCAAACAATGCCCTTGTTTTTTAATGGAGAATCTAGAATACTAGTTAAAAAAAATTTTGAGATGCATTTCCGATAATAACTCATATCCCTAAAATAAATTATAAATAATTCAAATAAATAAATAAATTTTTAATTTTTAAGAGTCTCGTTAGATGTCGAGTAATAACTCCTATCACAAGACTTAAGTCTTTTCGATAAAACTCAATCTTAACTTTCTAAATCAATAAACACTTAACTCCTTTATATAAAACCCAATGTCAATTTTATATATTTTTTATTTTTTATTTATCTATTCAAGTGTAGGATATATTATCTTACACATTACAAGTGGGTAGAAATTGTCATTAGCATCTCTTGCAACCGCAATGGGTATTCAACCACCATAAGATCCCTTTAGAAAATCACAATCTATTCTAATTAGAAGTTTACAAGTAGGAAAGCCTTGCATTTTCCAACAAAGCTAATAAAAATTCTCTCAAAAATAGGATTCAATCCTTGTGCTTGGTGATATGGCTACAAACTTCATATAACTCTTTTTATTAGTATCTAGCACTACATCTACATAGTCCCACAATCTACTATATTGGTTTTTATAATCTCTTAAAAACTTCTTCTAAAGTTATTCTTCATGCCTTGTAAGGGGTAAAATTTGACACCCTAACTTTAAAATTCAAACTAACGTCTCTCATAAAGGCATCTAACTTTTGATTTTTTATCATCTCTAATATATTCAACATAGTTCCAACCTAACCATTCTTTTGAACATTTTTCTTCGTAAATTGCTAGCCATAATTATGCTTTTTCCAATAAGTTTTAACTTGGCTCATCTCTTCTTTACCAAACTTTGCATCATAAATTCTCTAGCCACATCTTTCTTTGTATTTGGTTGTAACTCTATCCTTTTTGTCTTTCAAATAGTTAAAACACCGCCTAAGTTAATAGAAAATCTTTATGATGCTTCCATAAATACATCTTTGTTAGCAAATCTAAGACTAATCTTGAAATATGAATTTTTCATGTCCTTCTCGATATTAAATTCTTTAATTTTCTCGTCTTTAGATTCATATAATGATTCCACTACAAAAAAACCCAAAAAAATAGTGACGAATAAAATTCAACTCTAAATAGCAATCAAATAGCATCCGTTCTATTTAGTGACAAAACATAGATGATTTGACAACGAATTATCAACAAAGAACGTAATTTTCATCTCTATTTGTGGCACCAAAATATTCTTGGGTTTTTTAAAGACGGATTAGAGACGAATTGCTATGAAAATCAATGAAATATTTATTTGATTCATAATTCTAATTCCTTATTTTTCTCAACATCAAAACCATTATCATCATCATTTTTTCATTTATAGCTTCCCGACATTTTTTCTTGGAATTCTAGGCTTTCTTTGAAATTTATCTTTGTGAGCTTTAGGATACGACAATTTAACTTATACATAAAACAAGTTCACATCCTTAGAAGATTCATTAGTTAATCTTTCAGCCTCAATCCCTTCTTCATGTTGAGGATAATAGCCACCATCATCATTCTCCTCATTCTCATAATTAACCTTAACTCGATCATTATCCTCTTTCTTCTAATTGACTTTATTATCCTCATTATTTGCTCTCCCTTCATCCTTTTTATCAACATTAACTAACTTAACCCATAATCCATCAACCTCAAGATCATCATAAGCATTATCATCAAAATCTTCATATTCATCTCCCTCTACAAGATAACCATCATCATAATTATGATCATGAACAACAACAACAACATTGTGAGTTATAATTGGATCATGGCAAGCCATGACACCATTGCCATTAAAGCTAAATTCCTCATTGATATCACCATCTTCATTCATGTCTTCATTATAATGTAATGGGGAATTATGATTTTCTACAACAACTTCATCTCCTATTATGTCAAAACTAGGTCTTACAATAGTAGACTCAACAAATATGTCTATACTAGTCAATCCATAACCATTGTACATTTCAACCATTTCGATCATTGGAGATTCGGTTCAAGGCAATACCAATCCAAAATTTTCATATCCGAGATAGTACATTACATCTTTGTATCCGTTAAAGTTATCAATCCTCTTACATTTAGATTCTATGTCAATGGTACTTATTCAATCAAGATCCACTCCATTCATGATTCCCACATCCCGATTTCTAACAATATAGCACCTAACCCCATTATAAACAATAAATTACCCCTCAAAGTGCACTTCATACCTAGGCCATGTGTTTTCTATTTTTTATACAAATTTAATCCAATAAATTAATGGGGTTTTCAAGTTCGGACTCAAATACAATCATGGCAATAAATTAGAGGGGTTTTAAGATTAGGATCACATATAATAATGATAATAAACTAAAGGGTTTTGAAAATCTTTCAATAAAGAAAGAATTATGTACATAAGGATAACTATATTGTTGTTTTTCCAAATGCACATCAAGCATGTGGGTTTTGCTCAAAATCATAAGACAGAACGATAAACAATTAGGATAAATAGTTCAATTTGTCCTTATATAATAGCATGAATCTCCAGTTTGTCCCTATGTTTCTAATTGCTTCTATTATATTTATGAATAATAATTAAGTTTTCAATCTATCTTTTTGATTAATTTTTTCAACCATAGGTAAAATTTCGACTAAGATGCCCTTAAATCAAATGCACACAAAAAAAATACTTAAAATCACATGACCTACGTGCTCTATTTTTGAAGTCTTTAGAATTATTTTTTTCGTTTCATTCAAAGATATTTTGATTTTTTTTTTTTTTGAAAAATTTATCGAAAAGATAGATTGAAAACTTAAATATTATTCAAAAATATAATATATATAATTAAAAATATAGAAACATGTTTGAGATTCGAGCTATTATATAAGGAGATATTGATTTATTACTCAAACAATTGTTGAGGCTTATTAATCAAATTCTAATCTAGTTTTAGTGTTACTAATTGTCGTATCTTTTTCAAGAAAAAAGCTTTAATCTTCTCTGCTAAAGCCTAATATTTCATTATATGTTTTGATCTTTGAATTTGGAGGATGTAGAAATATTGATTTCTCCTTACTTCAACCGAAACCCTAACTTAAATTGAAGTTAAAGAAACAAAGAAAACTAACTCACAGTTTAATTACACCTACCATAAACTTGACTTTGGAGAAAATTTTTCATATGATCACGATCAATTCGTGTGAAAATTTTTAGGTTTTGTTGGACTAAACCACAATTGAGTCACGTGAGTCTCATGTAAAAATTAAAGATTCGGTCTTCTTGATAGTAATTTAGAAATAAAAAATAATTATGTGCGACTTACGTGACCTATTCTAATGGGTTGATTCAAGAATGTGGAATGAAGGATAAATTAAACACCTTACATGAATTCAGGGATAAAATTAGTTCATTTTAGAGTACAAAAACATATTGAAAAAATATCTAATTATATAATAATAAATTGAGTCATTATCTCTTAATATAAACATTAAATTATAATAAAAATCGAAGAATGTTATGAAATAATGAATGTCCATCATCATGTTCATTCACTTTTCATATCTCCACTATTCATGATTTTTAATATGATTTAATTCATCATTCAATATGAAAAATTGAAAGAGTGATGCAATTGATTATTCATATTTTCTTTCAATTCTCTTCTTAATTTTGAAGCCTATAAATAGGCTTGATTGTTCATTAGTTGGTGTATAAGTTTCATTGAGAGAATAAGAGAAACTTTGAAGTTTTTATCACTTATATTCACATTATAGTGATTTCATTTTCTTGCATCATTTTCTTCAATTCTCTTATTTATTTTTATTTCTTTTATAAAAAAGAAGTCAATATTTTTGTGTTTTTCAAATCAAAAGGATTAACTAATTACTAAAAACACAGAGATTAAATAATAATCTACTCTCTGTATATAAACAATATTAGATAAGGGCATAGGCAAAATAAATAAAGGATCATATTTATGGGCAGAATGATCTAAAAAGTGGACTGCAAGAGCTTCATGTATTTCCAAGACAAGCTAGCTGCGTATCCTCTTTTTGATCTATGAAAGTTAAGATCTTCGGATGGGATACATCAGAAATTGAAGCAGAGTACCATTATATATCTATATATATATATAGCAACAGTTGTACCATTATATACGTGTGTTTGTGACATGTTAAAATACTTGAGTTGATTTGGTTAAGAAGCTATGGAGACTGTTAAGCAAAAGGCATTTCCCAGACAAGACAGAAGACAACTGAATAAGACAAAAAGGACAGTGTAAGAGAGGTGGGTGTGAGAAATTAAGAGAGACCCAGCTAAGAGAAAATCCTCTCTCTCTCTGTATGCCAGAAGCATGAAAGGCCGTTGCAGAGGAAATGTCAATAGAGAAAAAGGATTCATTTATTACTCATACTGTAATGCAAGAACCCAAAATCCAAAGCAAAACCAGAGATCAAGCACAGAAAAGATGAGAATTATTCGAGTAGAAACACACTGGAGTGATGCAAAATTAAAGAAGGCATAATGACATATACATACATATGAATTCTTCACTGCTTTAACCCTTTTTAATAATCAAATCAACTGCGTGATTTTCGAAAACTTATTTAAAAAAAAAAACATAAAATTGCAATTGCTTGCATGACAATGATGACGTACTTTTGCAATGATGACTTCCGCTTTAAATGCTTGCCCAGTCCCCCCTCCCCCCCCCCCCCCTCTCTCTCTCTCTCTCTCTCTCTTGTTCAACACAAGAACTGCTGACGCATGCATATGGGTGTGGAGTGGGTGGATTGTATCGATTTTATATGCTTACACACGATGTCCTTGATGGTTATGTAGGTGCAGCTAGCATAAGCATCCCTTCTTAATTATCAGTACATCAATATTTGTGTCTTGTAGTAGTATCTTTTGAGTCTTGGGTGCGTAACTACAAGGTCATGGCCTGATAAAAGCCTATTTATAGTAGGCACCATGTTTAATCAAGGGAGATTACTGAGGTTGACTCCTCAATATCCAGGGAACAAGTCAAATTGATCAGGGACGTACTTCCAACTCCTCCAAAAAAGGTGATTCCATCGGCTTCTTTACCAGTCTGATAAGTAGGCCATCATTAGTACCGGTATACATGTTGTTGAATTCCTGCTGCTGATTATCAAGTATCAACCCAACATTGACTGCATGTCTATCTAATTAATTCAAAGAAAATAAATTAGAGTAAAAGATAAGCATTTTCATTATTAGGAAACCTGTGTAAGAACCCACAAATATCTAACACATGTATTGCATAGATGATGGACGAGTGAGAGGTATATATTAATGCTCTTTACAATTAGTATGTTACGCATTTGGTTTTTCTTCCTTTACACAGCATGGAATTCAGGAACTTTGAAAATGACCACATACATCCCTTTTGCAAGTTAATTAGCAATATATTAATTAAACTTACACTTAGCTATGTATATTAATCATCATTACAAGTAGCTAGCTAACTAGCGAACCAGCATTGAGATAGAAAAGGAAAGAGAATAAAATTCAAAAATATGTACTATACAGTGGGAAAAATTGGTGAACCTTGTGATTGTTGCTCTAAAAGACATCACTAAAAAGGAAAATGAAAACCCTAGAAGAGTGGAGAGTTTGTTAGGGTGGAAAAGAGCAGTACTAGGGTAGGGTTGATGAGGAGAGGAGAAAAGGGTGACATGAAGTGAAAGGGACGGTTTTAAAGGTAGGGAGATATCCCGACAGTAGCACGCAAAACGATACCAAAACTGGGTAGTGAGAGCAGTAAGAGCCTTTATAAGCTTTAGCATTTATTTCGGGTTGTCCCTCTGACCCTTCCTCCAAATCCCCGTATCATCCATCACGCAATATTGAAGATATGCGATTTGCCCTACTCAATGCCACGGCATTTATTGGACAGTGCCAACACCATGACCCCTTTCTTATTACGCTTTATGAATTATGCAGAACAAATCAGAGAAAAGGCATATGAGTATGACTTGACTAAACCTTTCTCTTGACTATTCTTTTTTGTATTTCTTCTTGGAGTTTGGCGCTTACACGCTTCCCCATGCTAACATATGCTGGTAAGTATTCATGCATATAGAAAGAGAGAGAAAGCGATTTCGAAGAAAGAACAAAAGAACATTTTCAATGGCATCATCTGTTACCCTTCTCTCTCCTTTTCTCCCCTATCTTTATTACGTGCCTTTTGTCCCCCCTTGCTTACCCTCTCTTTTCCCTCTCACTTTGAAAATATCAAATTGAATGAGTTAGCCCTTCTTCTCCTCAGTCCCACACACCAATACACATGACAAGCCAGTTTGTCCTCGGCTGGCTTATGCATCTGCCCATTTGATCACTTCAATTCATATACTTTAAACACAACAATATAAATCATATTTTATTAAATTGAAATTGTATCTTATATGATATAAAGTTTTACTGATCAAAATTTTTCGTATCCTATTACCTTTGTTTTCTTTTAATCAATAAAAATAATTAAACACGAATTAATGTTATCCTGTGCAAATTTATTATGTAGTCTTAATTAATAATTTATTTCTTTGAATTGAAATGATTCGATGAATATGAATGGTGTCCAAAAGTATAGTATTAATTAAGTCAACATTATACCTTTTTTGTCCAATTAATGCATCTTAATTTTCTTCACAACATACCTGTAATTAAGGATCATAAAAGTATTGCTCTTAATTTGACAACAAGCACGCGTGGAGCATTTACCAAAGCTCATCAAGAAGACAATGCACGAATACATTTAATAGACAATATGTTGATAAATTTATCAACACTTACAATGTTAGCTTTGTCAAAAGAGAAGTACTTGTGCACGTGATCCTAGCAATTTGCTGATCAAAACTTGAACTTGACGCAAATAAGTTTCTTCTTTGACTATATATATATATATATATAAGCTTCACAGTAGGTCTACTTTCCTTGAAGTTAACTTCACTGTTGTTATTAAATAAATAGAAGGCTTATTTTGGATTTTAAATTAACCGCAATTTCCGACAATAGAAATGGGAAAGATTATTAGAATTGTAAGAGAATAATATAATTTATATTTTAAAATTTTAATTAATAATTAATTTTTTTGAATTGAGATAATCTTTTAACATGATATCAGAATTTTGATAACCATATGTAGTCACAAATTCAAAGTTCATAAAATAATATGAGTCCACAAATTCTAAAAAGTTTGAGTTGAAAAAAATATATTAGAAAATAATATAAATTATATATATCCTAAAACCTTATTCAATAATTTAATATTTTGACGTAAAATGGTTTTTTTTTTTTTTTTTTTTGACAAGAATCAAAATTTACCAAACAACAATGTAATATTAAGGATAATCGTAACAGTTATGGGGTTTCTTTAAGTTGTATGAAAACATTCCACTAGTTAGCAAGGGGGCGGAGACGGAACTATAGCCTTGGGTAGAAGGGCTACATTTTCTTTCTTTTTCTTTTTTGATTAAACGATTCCTAAACTAGATCAGTGGTATATATAATTAAGAGAGAGACAATATTAATATGTTTTTAAAAAATTAATGGTAAGATGTTAGCAGAGTAGATTTTAGCTGCGATGACCGCAAATATCAAAAGGGTCCTTTTATTTAATTATAAACAAAAAATGGATTATTATAACTCATAATCCCTTTAAAAAAATTTATTTTTATTAAAAACGAATATATAAATATATGCAGCTTCTGAATCAAGTTTTGGTATATGTGAATGATTTTTCATTCCATATTAATTTATTCATTAGCCCCTAGCATAAAATTCCTAGCTCCATGCATGGTTGAATGTTGAGCTTATTTGTTGGAACCATTTAGCCCTATCCGACTAGTAAATAAGACGAATTGCATTTCTTTAGACTACTTTGACACCACCACCCCCAAAAAAAATAAAAAAACAAAACGGTGAAGTTAAAATGAACTCGATCGGGTCTCTCATAATGAAAGAAAGTTATTTTGAATTGTTTATATAGTTTGGTTAATGTTAGATCCGATTGCAAGTGGAAACTCTAAGAATAGCTAGTAGCTACATGCAACAGAGTGTTTTTGAGTTGATAAATGATATGCATGTTGTTTGATTTGTGTTCAGATTGTGATCCCCTTCGTCATGCTCAGTGGTCATGATTCAACATTGACTATGCACTAGAGTGATTTTGGACTCCACCAAAATTTCAAACCTATGAGATATATATATATATATTTTATGGGACAAACCTTGAGATTATCTGACCATATGTACGTTGTAATGAAATGGCGATATGCGGCTGATTTTGAAGTGGAACAGCTTCGCTGCATGATGGTGGGACTAGCATTCGAGTTCTGTTAAGATTGGCCCGGCCTTCTCTGTGTGTGTCTATATATATACATTGTCATTGGGCTTTATATAGTTTAGGGACACCTAAACCTTTCGATATCACTGTATGCTCGATTGCTATTTTTATGTTGGCTTTATGCTGATCATGTTTCTGTGGGCATCACTGGGCTTTGTATAGTTTAGGGTCACCTGAACATTTGGATATCGCCGTATGCTCGATTGCTATTTTTATGTGGGCTTTATGCCGATCATGTTTCTCTGGGCATTCTGGCCTCTTTACCAATAAAATTTTGTTGTTAAATATAGTAGTAGCGTTGTCCTACTACATGGATTGAGTCGATATATATATATATATTAAATAGAACACGGGCAAACTAATTAATTGGGACCTATGAACTGATTCTATCTAGAATACTTTCTTCAAAATTGTCTTGTTGGATTGGCTTGCTTTCCAGTTCTCTTTTGATCGACTAATTTCGCTTACAGCAGTCAAACAAATACCACGCGTTCAGATGGAGCACCCTAACAATTGGTTTAAATACCTCAAGTGCGCTGGAACGGAATCAGCAAACCCCGTAACTCCTTTTTATTTCTTTTCTTTTTCCCTCCTGCTCAACAGAAATTCATTACCTTCTCGGCAAAAGGAGGAAAATTACAACCTGAAAATACACGGTGAGAAGGCACAGTATTATCTTTACCGGATGTTAAAAGCAGACAATTCTTGATAGGAGAAGGCAACATCAGCACTAAAAGCCAAAGGATGATGATCTAAATAAATTTTCAACCACAAAACTCAACTCAATGCTTTTCATCTTCAAAACCAATACCTTATACTGTTTATTCCAGTTGAACAAGAGAATCATTAAACAAATACTAAATCTATTGGGACAGGCCAGTGCAAATTCTGTTTTCATTAACAGAACCGACTTCACTGAAGAGACTCTTCAATCACTGAAACACAAACCATGAACCAAGAATATATTGCTCCATATTCTGCTTAACATTCTCAAAAACCTTGGTTATAAAGCTTCACCTCCTTTTCTGTGACATTGATGAAGAAAACAGTCAGCAGCGCCATGGTCTATATATACAAAATAACATCATGTATAAACCAATCACATGCCTTTATACCCTGCTGAGTTTTTATTGGTTTCTATCTACAGTATAGACTGGCAAACATAATACCTCCTTCTGATTCCCACTGGATCTATTCAAACTTCCGTATGCTTTCTTTTTCTTCACAGATAAGTTACAACCATTTTTACACTGTTCCATCCTGTATTCCACCTCTGAAAATTTCCATTTCATATCAATATATGATATGTAAGCATAACCTTTGCACTTGGGTTAGCGATAACTCAAATTTCTGCATTATATCCTGCATACAATCGTGAAATCGCCACGCATTCTCATCACTGAGATAAAATGTGCAACTAAAGTAGGAGAAGCACTTCACAGTTCAGTGGGAAATCAAAAGTCTGATCTGGTTGCCGTAAATGATGAAAGAAGACCAGCTGCTTGGGCGGGTAAAATATCACCAAATGTTGACATGGCAGATGCTGATCTGTCTTTGAATATGCCTACTTGCCCATCAGTTAACATAGATCCCAATTTTAAGGTGCTCTCCCCAAACCGGCTTCCAACCTGGCCATTATGAGGAAAATTGTTATCATACCGTTACTCATATAAATGACAAACATTAACCTATGTTTTCCCACCAAACTGAATCTAGAAACTACCCAGCAATGACACAATAAAAGTATGCCATCCCTCAAATTTTACATGATTATACTTGCTAGAATCCAATCTAGGATCTTTAATCGAATAAAGAAAATAAGCAGTGGGGTAACCATCATTGATAACTTTTATCTGTGGAGCTACTTGTATTAACTAGAGAACGTAAAGACTGTTTGCTTAACTGATTAAGTTAGAAAAACTTTCCAGTCTCCATCATGTCGAAGAGGTGATATTACCTTTCTACTGAAGTCTAAATGCTAATGCTTTCCAAATATCCCAGGCATAAATACTGATTGCAGTTCCCAGTTCTTATATTGGCTTTTTTTTTTCCTAATCGTAAGGACGTATGCTGTCAGAATTCTTCTATCCTGCAGCTTCAAAGTCTTGATAGATTATGAAATTGCTGGTAGCCTAAATCAGACTTCAAAGAGGCCACAGCCAAAACTCATGCTCCACCTCTTAACTCTTCAATGTTTATTTGTCAGGAAGGATGGATATACGGGAGGAATGGAAGAGTAAACTGGAGGATGGATAGGAGAAGGGATGCATGTTAACCCATCCATCTAGTTGTTTGGCTGACAGGGGAGAAGAGAATCAAAATCAATTCACCCAAATTGGACAGATTGTAAATACGAGGAAGGATAGGAAGGATCTTTCCTTTCCTTCCTTAGGTCTCCATTGATCATGCCATTCACATCCATCTCCCCTAAAATTCCTCCTAACAAATAGACACATTTTTCTGATTTGATAGTTATCACCATGCCTAGCCTGCACAACTTTTTTCTTTTTTTGGTTTGAGAAATACCTTCTCTCGTAAATTTGACTGCTTAGTTATTTCCCCAACCTTTCCTTTTTATTACTTCTGCACTCATGCAAATAATTACAAATCTAAACTAGACTTCATGTAAGCCTCACCTTGTTGTAAAAATTCCCCTAAACCAAGTGGACTCGATTCAACTTAAATCTTGTTCAGTTTCTGTTCTTTGCCTATACGGAAGAGTCCTGTTGACTAAGAAACTAGGCTTTTTTCTTCCTTCTCTCGATAATCTAATAACTGGGGGGAAAAATTCAGGGACATTCATCTTCTGAATCTCAGACGTGCCTGGTCATGATATAGAAAGAAAGAAAGAAAGCTGTACCTGCATGAAAGACTTCAAAATTGGTGTTGCTACACCAAAACTAGAGTTTTCATCCAAATCAATCTTTTGAGAAAGCTCTCCATTGGTGTAAGCTTTCCAGGAACTTCTTGAAGAGATATCATCTGAAGTTGCTTGAATGGATGTCTTTTTCCCCCGTCTTGAAGACAATGCTGGAGCGCTGGACAATTAAGATGAAGTTAGTTGCAGTGGACAATTACAAAACTAGAAGCAAATACCATTCACCCTAGAAAAAACTGAAAAAGTTATTCAAAAACTGAGAATACCGAAATAATGTCATGTGCAAATATTTGGTAGACAGAATTATCAAAGAAATGTATTTAAAATATTAACCTGATTGGAAGGTATTTAAAGCGTGGAACAGTAGAGCATCTCATGATATTTGACTCTGGATTAGAAGGTAGTTTCTGCACAGTATCAGTGTACATTCGGTTTAGTTGCACAAAGAACCCAAAGAGGACAGCATGTCGCAAGTATGACTGCCTCTCATTCTCCCACAGGTATGGCTCATACCTAACAAGTGAAAATACAACACAAAGAATCATCAAATCAGAAAAACAGAGATTCAATTATGCCATAGTTCCCAATCACAAAGGGAGAATAAACGACTACTTGAATGGTTCAAAATGCAAATTGTATGTAGAGATACACAAGGAAAGAATCCCCCTGAGAGCACATGGAATGGCACAGATTTAAAAGTGACACTACAACTAACTCAGATCATCAGTTCCAAAATTTTTACCATCATTCGAGTCCTTAAAAAACCTATATAAATCCAAATGTCACTCTTAAGCCATAAGATCATGGCAATCCCAATGAATAGTAATATCAATTAAGGGCATGCTATGTGCAAAGAAATGCACAGGTTCAAAAATTTCCATGCTTTCTTTCAAATTAAGAACAAAAAAGACTTACGTAAGCCAGTCTATGGGATCAAGCCTCTGTGAAAAACAATTAATTAGCCCATCAATACGCTCTCTCAAGACTGACTTCCTCTGGCTTTGCTCCTGCTTCCGTCTGAAAGAAACCTTCACCCTTGGATTTCTAGATATCTCCTCATTAATATTACAATCACCCCCAGAGAGAACATCAGCAGCAAATCTTAGGTCTAACAGAATTTGAAGAACTCCTTTCTCCGACACTTGAGACTGATGAGACTCTCTAGAGGAAAGGAAGTCCTCATAAATCTCAATGACCTGGGTGAAGTATACAGTCAATACATACAAAAATAATGGGAAATGGATTGGTCAATTTTAAACTAAAATAATTTTTTTTTATGAACATCCTAAGCCACCACTGAAAAGTAGCCAATGAGAAAACAAAATAGACCCAAAAAAAATACTTAGTTAACCAATTCTAGCAGTACAAGTAATCAAGAATGTTAATATTTACGATTAGATCCAAGAAAAATGAATGATCATAGAGCAAGGGAAGAAACTATTAAAAGATGAAAAAATTGTTAATCAACACCAGCATATGAATTAGCGCGGAACATTGTTTCAGTATAAGGATGATGAAATGGCCTCATAACTTCTATTTAAATAATAAAAGATTTAAAAAAAAAAACAAGAAAATAAGCTCAAAATTAAGAATATGGCAATAAAAAAACAAGTATATGCACGCATACATCACCACATAGTAATAAATTTGTGGAAGAAGTCACTTGTCCTGTCAAGTTGCATACCTTTTCCAATAGTCTTGAGGCAAATTTTTGCAGAATTGATTTGTCAAGAACATGACCTCCAATTCTATGGATTTCTTCACATGCCCGAAACAGAAATGAGATGATATAAAGTGAAGGCATGGATGGGAGTGAAATTTTCATTTCAGATTGGCTGTCATCGGATTGTTCTTGTTTGACTACCGTCTCTTCCCAGCCCTGTCCCACGTTCAGAGGATGGCAAAGCTTAGTGTGATTGTAAACAAGATAAACATGCCATGAACAGAAAACACAAGCACTGGTTCGATAATAGCACACATCCTTTTAAGATGCTTAACAGAGATACAGAGAATATTAAAACAAAATATAGGAGGAGAATGACAACTTGTCAAGCAAATACTACATACCCTCAAGGGAGTTGTTGCTGATAATCCATCATCTTTTCCAAGATCCTGAGCAAGAATCGTTGAAAGCTCATCAGATAACCAGGATATCCATAAGTTGTGAGCTCTGATGCAAAGATCCCTCATGATTCTGCCTAATTCTTCAAGTTTAGGACTTGCACTTTCGTTTGCTCCAAGCAAAGCAGCAGTGGCAGATGAGATCTGTCTTTTAGATCCAGTAGGAGATTGCCTGCCAGGACTGTCAGGGATATGATAATCGTTGGCAACTCTAGATTGCCTCAATAAGGATGGTAACTTGTCAAAAACTGCAGCCATGTGATCTTTGGCCCAAAACCTTGGAGAGCCCAGTATCACTGGAATGTGTTTTGAGTGGTTTTGAAATGCAAACAAGAGTCTCCCAATGTAAAGAGATTTCTCAACAACTATGGCAGGAGGTGGAGACTGACCAACGTTGTTGCCATTCTCCATTGCAGCATACAAACTATCAAGATCCCTCTTGAGTTCTGTCAATATGGTCGAAATGCTCTCATAGCACTTATCCTGTAAAAACGGTGCCAACTCCTTTAGCCTGAGAGCTGCCTTTGGAGATTCTAAGAAACTAAGCAGGTCCTCAAGAACATTTTGACAACAGTTGTCCACTGCATCTCTGATTCGACTAACTGCAGGACCAAAGTATGCACTGAGACAACTATGAAAATCATTATCTTCAGGCAATGCTTTATGACCAGCACCTAGACCAGACTTCTTTGTGTTGGGTTCAATAAACCAAACCCCGCCACCCGTGGAAGGTCTGTTCAAATATGCCTGAAAGTCAATCTGTTCACCAGGAGTCTCTCTTATCGCACAAATGGACTCTCTCAAATTGATACCTCGTACCAAGTCCTCAAATCGTGATATTATAATAGTTTTCATCCTCTGAACAAAAGCACCTTCAAATATCTCATCCCAGAGATCTGAGTCATCTTCTAAAACTAACTCTCGGATCCTACTCCAGGGCAACTCAATCTCAGACCCGAAAACACTCTTGAGCCACTCCAAACTTCCCTCCAACACTTGCTTGCTATCCATAGTCTCCCTAATCATCTTCTCAGCCACTGCAAGCTCTCCACCAGTAGCAATCGCATCAATCAAGAACTTCCCATTAATCTTATTCACAATCTCTCCGCCGCAATCCCTCAACCAACTCAAACAAGTCCTAGCAATATATTCTTTATCGAGTGCAAGATTCACAGACTCGAGCTTTTCCCTAAACAATTTCCACAATCTCACTTCCTCATCCGGGTTTGGAATCCCCCAAACAATTGAGAGGCAGGAGGAGAACCCAAAATAACTTTATAAAACAAAGGCAAATCATTCAAAACTTGCAAAAACAGCTCCCCTACTTGTCCTACACTAACTTGAATTATCTTCAACACTTCACAAAACACAAAAACGACAACCTCACCGCTGACATTATCCATTTTTACATCCACCCCACCAAAACCCCCTAGTTTTTGCGAAATCCATGACTTTCTACTGTCAAGAAACAAACTCAATACCTGATCAGGCTCCAATTCATCAATCACTGCTGCCGCAGCCAAGGCATCCGCATAACCCCCAATTTCCAACCCTTGATCTGACAACCTCTCGCGACTCTTCTGCGAAATTTGCACTTTAAAACTCTCCACGATCTGCCATTGATGCTGCAAGAGTGGAAAATTCAACAAGATCTTATTATAATCCTGACTCACCAACTTACTCTGTACGTGCTTTGCACGTGTATACCTCCCTGCTGCCTCCAAAAACATGAATTCGTCCAAGCATCCCCAGATATTCTCCGGGGTATCAACTAAATACTTGACCCGACATGCGATCCCATAACTTTTACCACGCGTAGGGTTAGGGCTTGTGAATTTGGGGGTTTCTGATAACGGAGAAGCAGAAAGGGAACGAATGTTAGTGTGAATCGATGCGATATTGCGAGAGATTGATTCACAATAGGATTTCATGTGAACGATAGAATCGGCTGAATCAATTAGGTCACGATATCGGTTACCGACTAATTGACGAAGCTCTTCTTTCTTTTCTTCGATTTGGTGTCGCGTTGCAGATTCGACATTGCGGATATCGGCGATTGTTTTGGTACGGAATAGTGATTCAGCGTCCCGATAACCTCCGCCGCTTAGCGAGGCAGCGCGGTCGTCGGTGACGGAGGGTGTAGATACTCTCATTGTTTTGAATGATTTTTAATCGATTTTACATGTAGGGAGGGAAGCAGTCTCTCTTGTGTGTGAGCTAAGGAAAGAGAAGAAGGGAGGTGTTTTTTAGATCTGGAGGGGATGTTAGATTCAAGATTTTGGTTGTTCGTAGTATTTATAGTGATGGTCTATTTACTGAAACGACCCTGTTATTTTTAATTCCCTCCGTTTACTTATTTTCGTTGTGATACGGTAAAATGGGGTGAAAAGGGAAAGAAAAACAGAGAGAGAGAGAGAGGAGTAGAAATGAAGGAAACAAAGTGGGGCACAGGAATGTTGTTTAACAAAAGTAGAAAAGCCCACCAAGTTGGGCTTGGGTTTGCATGGAAGACTTTATCCATACATTGGACAATGGACACCCACCCTTATCCAGCCCAATCCAGGTATTTTTCTTAGAAAACAAAGTTATTATCAAAAGATCATGATCTTATATAATAATAAATAGATAGATAAAAAATAGCTAGTTAGGTATGAAATGGATGAACCCCTCGTCTAGCTAGAGTAAAACTTAATGGGATTTTATCCACACCTATTTTGACTTTCATCCAACCAAATGAGATGATGTCTTAGTCATGTGAAATTACTAAGTAATGTGAAATTACTATCCATAGAATATGACTAATTGATAAAATTTTAGGATATTTTGTTCGCAAGGTCTTCCGTTTAACATTTCTCAATATTCTTTTTGTAGTTATTGTAAAGCCGTAAGAGTCTACAAACATGTTTTCTTTATATATTTCTTGAAAAAAATTATTTATTTTCTAATATTTCTGCTTTGCATCACGTGATATATCAAACCATAGAAAGAACCATAAAATTTTTGTGGTTTTTTATGTAGTCTATTCTATCATGTAATGTTATGGTGATAATTTTAGTCAATTTATGAGGTTTTATAAGAGAGAGAAATCACATACGAGTTTCAATAGACTACTTAATGAATTTGTTAATTAAAATTATGGAAGGAAATGATTAAGAATTCGTTGACATGTTGGGAACCTAATTGAGATTAAAAGTAAGTTAGAGAGCTAATGGAGATTATCCTTATAGGTTGGGGACTATTTCGAAGTTCGCCTCTTTTTGTTGATCAATGGGTAGCTTGGTAAACTCTCGAATCTAGTTTGCTTTGCAAACGAAGAGGAGAGCCAAGCAAATCACATCTCGCCCGACATAAAAATTTGACGAAAGAGATTAATTAAATCTTGTTCCGCAAAAACTCAAAATTTATAAGCAAATTTATTAGGCACATATTTTTGGTTGGTAGTCTCTATTTGTGTAATGCGTCTAAAAGGCCTATAATTTTCAAAAGACGAATCACCCTTCTAAAAATATGACGTAATCAACTTCCGTTGACTTCAATTTTATATCTTAATATCAATTCTATGGATTTCGTTCATCGTGGTTCCTAAGTGTTCCTCTTTATAGTCATGATAGAACAACGAGCGCTTTAAAACTAAGCCTATAACATGGTGGTGTAGGTGAATGAAATTGTTTATAGTTTTTACCATAAACTCTAATTTTGAATCACTCGTTTTACTCGACAACGAGCGGGGAAGATTGTCGAAGTAGCATATTGATTACAAAAAGTAGGAGACACGAAATTGACGCGTACAAGACGGGTTCGATGTGCAAGATAAAGAGGCTTGTGGAAAATTAACAATCCACGGAACTCTTTGTTACATCACCGCAAGACCTTGACTCCCGATAACTATGGGAGTGCTTTGGGTCTTCGGTTCGGAATAGAAATGTGTTAAACAAGCTCTTCATTTCATTCCAATGAATTGTCTGGGGAAAGGAAACAAGGTTTTTGGAAAATTTCACACACCACATAATTCCTATGATCCATAAGACCGTGATGACCCTTGATAATGATGCAAGTAATTTTGATGTTTACCAAGATTCCGTTATTCTTTAGCTTTTGATGATCCCGAAATTAACAAATATTCCCGAACTTAAACCATAAAAAGCAATAATTAAGTGAGAACATGCTAAATTTCCAAGAGCATTCTTTTAGTGTAAGCACGGGGATTTTTTTATGGTCAACTTTTTTTTTCTTAGTCTTCATCATTATGGACTTCCAATCTAGCCAATTAGCATGGATGTAGTAAATAAAAAGTAGATCTTTTCGGATACCAATGCAACTTTGGCCAACATGAATAACACCTTAAAACTTCGCTATCCTTGTCTTTCGTGTACTTTTGATGCTTGTTTCCCTTAAAGTTGTAAAATTACTTTCAATCGCGAGTAATTTCAATTTAAGTTGCATCGATATAGAGAGGAAAGCACTTCTTCAATTCAAAGAAGGCCTTGAAGATCCATCATGTCGGCTTTCTTATTGGGTTGGCAAAAATTGCTATGAATTGAAGGGTGTAGGCTGTAGCAAGAAAGGTAATGTCATTCGACTCGACCTCGGGAACCTATATACAACTGCCGTTCCAATGGATTTGATGCCAAAAAGTGAGGCAAAAGCCTTGGAAGGGTCATGTTTACACGGTAAACTAATTCCTTCTTTACTCCAGTTGAAATATTTGCATCATTTGGATCCGAATGGCAATAATTTCTCAAGAAATCAAATCCCAAGTTTCATTGGCTCACTCCGAGAGTTGAAATACCTCGACCTTTCTCGATCATCCTTTATTGGAATGATTCCTCCTAATCTATAAAACCCGTCAAATTTGCAATATCTTGATCTTTCCACATACACCTATTTTAAAAGTCCGATTAAGAAAAACATTTAGATTTCGATGTAAGCGGCTCTCTAGTCCGTTTTTCCTCGAGTATCTAAATCTAGGAAATGTGAACCTTAGCTTGGTCGCAATCCGTGAATATGCTTCATTCTCTTACGAGTTGCACTTGCCAAGTCGTGATCTTCACAACTTCCCTCGCAGTCTTCCTTCGATCAATTTCACTTAACTAACAGTTCTTGATCTCGGATACAATTATTTCAACTCTTCATTCCCTTTTTGGTTGTTTAATATCGGTACCTTTACGGACCTTAGCCTCGAGGATTTAAAAATTAAAGACCCCACGCCCAGTAATTATTGGAGTAATTTTTGCAACTTGCAATCTCTAGACTTATCTAGCAATGAACTTAGTCGTGAGATAATTGAACTTATTGGTATTTTGTCTAGATGTAGTAAAAATAGCCTAGAGGCGTTCGGTTGAGTCAAAATAATTTCACTAGACAGATTATCGAGTCATTGGGCTACTTTGTCGGTTTGAGATCCGTTGCAGTTGACGCAAACTCATTCTCAAGATCAATTCCAACATTAATTGGGAGGTTGTCCTTGTTGGAGGAATTGGACCTTGCATTCAATAAATTGAATGGAACCATTCCTGAAAGCATCGAACAACTCAAGTCTTTAGCTAATTTGTATCTTGATGGAAACTCTTAGGAAGGCCTCATATCCGAGATTCACTTCCTCACACTCGGACTTGAAAACTTTATATTTGTCATCTTCAAAAAAGTATTTTGCATTAGATGTGAGACCAAAGTGGATTCCTCCTTTTAGCATGGCGAAATCTCCATCACCGATTGTCGAATAGGTCCAACATTTCCAAGTATGTTTATAAACTCAACATGAGTTAATTTTTATCGAGCTTGTAGATGTTGCACTTTCAAGCATAATATCCGGCTTGTGTAGGAAATTAAGTCCTCAACTTACATGGTTGGATCTTTCTAACGACCGATCGGAAGGCCAACTCCCACTCGTTCTAATCTTAAAGCTCTTATTCGAAAAACAACTTATTTTCGGGATCGATTCCTCCAAACATAGGCCAAAAAATGTCAATGTTGATCGTTCTAGATCTTTCAGAAACTTTCTAAATGGAAAAGTTTCTTATTCCTCAAGGAAAATAAAGAATCTATACATTCTTAATCTCTCCAACAACCGGTTATCCGGAAAAATATATAGGCATTGGGAGGGTTTGGAATTACTCGGACACTTTAGATCTATCTAAGAATAATCTATCCGGTGGCATCCTAAGTTCCATGTGCTAACTACATGGGCCTCGAGTTATGAAATTGAGCGACGAACAATCTTTCCGGGAAATTATCTTGGTCTTTACAAAGCTGCACGGAGTTTAAAGACACTTGATATTGGAGACAACAAGTTCTCTAAGAAAATACCAAATTGGATTGGTGAATTATTGTCCCCGTCCATTCTAAATCTGCTAGCCAATATGTTCAATGGAAATATGTCCGAACATCTTTGTCATTTTCCTAACCTCCACATTTTGGACTTCGCACATAATAATTTGTCGGGACTAATCCCGCAATGTTTAGGCAATCCGAGCGAGTTTGAGTTCTTTTAGACAATATGATTCAATTGACTATCCCTTTTACATGAAGGAGATGGCATTGAATATGAAGGGAGGGCAACTTGAATATAAGAAAGCTCTTGGTATTGTGAATTTCATGGATCTCTCAGTGATAACCTCCGAGGAGAGATCTCAAAATATCTCATAAATCTCTCATACTTAGGTTTCTTGAATTTATCTCGGAATCAATTGATAGGAATGATACCGGGAATGATTGGAGACCTAAAACTTTTAGAAACTCTAGACCTCTCATCCAACCATCTTTCGGGTATCATTCCTTCAAGCATGTATTCTATGACTTCTTTGGACCATTTGAACTTGTCACAAAACAACTTATCCGGACCAATTCCATCAACAAACCGGTTTGGTACCTTCATTGATCCTTCAATTTATGAGGACAACCCCGAACTTCGTGGTCCTCTATTGCCAACAAACTACTCCAAGCTGGTTGATGAAGGTAACAAGGCTAAAAATGACAACCGCAAAGATGATGGTGGTTGGATTGAAATGTTATGGTTCTACTCGGGCATTGGAGTGGGATTCTTGTTCGGGTTTTGAAGTCTGTTTGTGGCACTTTGACAATAAAGATGTCTTGGAGACATGCCTATTTCGAGTTTACGAGATAGAGTGAAAGATAAAATCTATGTGATCACCGTTGTGAATATGGCTCGTTTACAAAGGAATTTTGAGAGGGAACAATAAAATGATAATGCCTCCGTAAATATGAAAAGACGAGTTATTAAAGCTGTATTATTTTTCACTCCTTTTTCTTTAATTATTTTCCGATATATTTCAAATTGGCATCGTAATAAACATTTGGTTTCGATAAATGTAGCTTGTTGGCGGGAGACAAAGGAATTTTGGAAGAATGAGATATCAAGAATAAAGGAGGCATCGACTTTCCTCCGTGTGTCTATTTTCTCTCGCCTTTACTTGTAGGATATTATCGGCACTAGTCGATCCGGTGAATTTGGTTTGTCCGTTGAGGACTAATCATTTTTATTTTGTGTTTGTCATCCATGCATCCTTTACATTGAAGCAAACAAGTCTTCCTTATAACTTAAAAATAAATAGCTTTTCTAATTATTGCGAGTGTGAGAATTAATTAATAGGTTATTGGTGAAGTATGAAGTTTGCATTCTTCACAAAGTTTAGTAGGATGAACTTTCTCACAACCATGGATTCTATACCTTAAATCCCTATAGTTATTTTGTCCAACACTCTAAAGTGTGGTTTTGTTATGAAAAATGAAAAGTTCGGAATAAGAACGCGAAATCGAAATGAAAATTAGAAAATCAAGATGGCATTTGAATTCTCATAATTTATTTGGAATAGTAATAAAAAATCAAAATAAAATTTAAATTTTGTAATATTTTATTTTAATATGAATAAAAATAATATTTTAAAAAATAATTTTATCAATTATGATAATAGTAAAAATTATAGAGGTAATTGTGATAGTGGAGGTGGTGGTGGTGGTAATAATAATAATATAGTAATAGTAATAATATATTTTAAAAAAATTGATAATATTATTATAGAAAGTGATAGTGAAAAAAGAGCAGTGATGATATAATAAAAATTTTAATAGTGGTTGAGAAAGAGTAGTAACATAATAATAATAACAACAATAATAGCTTCTTTTTTTAATTTTTTTTATCACCATCGTTAATGGAGGTGGTGGTGGTGGTGATAAAAATAGTTAATATACAAAAAATAAAACTAATATATCATTGTTTTGAAAAAAAAATCTTGTTTTTATTCATACCTTTCACATTGAAATGAAATTATGTTTAATTTTTATTCACATTATGGCTCTTTATTTTCATTCTTATTTCATTTATTTCAACCGAATCACTATGAGGTGAAAATAGAACTTACATTCTCATCCTCACTATTGTATTTTTCATAACCAAACAAGCACCTCAAATTATGCTCTATACTCATTATTTTCTATTATACATATACGTATAGAGAGAGAGAGAGAGAGGCTCTTTCCTTCATAAAACACGAGTTCGATAACCCCAACATAGACACATAATTTTAGAGAACCAGCTCTTTCTCTCTAAACTCTACATATTATGTTCGTAATATCGACTTAAGCATCGAGTGGTCATGTTAGGTTACCTCCCGACACTACTAACACCGATACTTCTACTCTATACTTGCACAACTTCAATAAACACCACCATCATTTTTTCAACCACCTTAAGGAGGTCGAACAACAAATACAATTAATCTAGATATTGAAATCTCACCCAACATCGGTGCCATAATCTATGAGAAACCGAGCAAAAAGCTTATCTCTCATCCATATTTACCGACCTCCAATCCGAAAATAATATTTTTCTCCTCCATATGAAACATTAAATCCGATTGCACAGACAAGCTTCACCTAAGTATCCATCACTCAAATAAGATAACACCTTTTTTTTTTTTAATTCAAGAAGCACATTAATATAAAAATAGCGTATAAATCTATCATAATCACCCTTTTCTAGTAGAAAGGATGAGCAATTTATTTGTTTATGTTGCTTTTTTATTTATGTCATACTCATATGTTTTTTTCATAGTGTTAATTTGCATTATATGACATACATGCATCCACTCATCCAAATACTTATCTAGAGAGGGCATCAATTATTGGTTTCACTAATATTTTATTATTATGGTAGAAAAGGTGTAGAAAAATAGACAAAAGTTTGTAAGACCATCACATGGCCATGTCTTTTTTACATCACACTAATAATGTTGACAGATCACTTAAACATATTATATTATTTTTTACAACTATCAACTAACTATACAAATTAGATGGGATGACCGACTCCATTCATGGTCCATTACTTGGTCAAGACAAATGTGGTCATAAAAAAATGGCATACTGGGACAAATATGATCGATTAATGTTCACCATTCGTGACAAATATGAATAGTTATTCCAAGCATAGCTAACCATATCAATAAATAAATAAACGTGTATGAGATAAATTCGGGCGAACATGCCTATTATCATCTAAGATAACCTAGGCAAATGCATAAACATCCGGGAAAAACAAACCCGAACAATCAAAAATAAAAAAGAAGAAAGACATAATTTTTTTAAAAATAAATGAGAAAATAAGAAAAGAGAAGTTGATATGGCTCTAAAAGAAAGAAGAAAAAATAAATCACCATACCTCCACTAGAGCTCTATCGCTAGCACGCATCAAACAGACTAACACCGTTTTAGGCGAATGAAGCCAATGCCCTTATTAAAGATACCATTCTACCACCGCATGATAGCTCACGTGTAAAAAGAGGTTAGGCCACTCCTCACCACACGCCCGACAGTTTATCTCGTCCTCTTTCATTTCAATGCCTCAAGTTTCCATCACCCCTCAATTCCAATCCTAAATTTGACCTTGACTTTCAAACCAATCCCCAAGTTTTGTTCATCACCATTATCGGCCTTTGATCTTGTCAACAAAATTTGGTCCTCGTACTTTTAAATATCTCTATACAGGATTACATTTCTCCTTATAGTATCCATCCCTCCTTCTCCAAGAATTCCATTCCTCATGGAATCCATCCTTATTTATGAAGTCCATCCCTCCTCAAGATCCACCTCTCTCAAAAAGTCCATCCCTCCTCATAGATTCCATCCATCTTCGGGATACACTATCCCTAAAAAGTCTATCCCTCTTCAAGGATTCCATCTCCCGTATGAGATTACATCTCTTGCTAGGAATCCATCTCTCTTCAAAGATCCATTCTTCTTCAAGGAGTCCACTTCTTTAAGAGTCTACAACCATGTTTTTCTAATAATATACATTGAAGTTCCTTTGAGAATATATTCCTCCAAAAACCTACAACCATATTTTGGCGATATCTTACGGAATCATTTATCTAAAATTACAGTTCATCCAAGAACCTACAACCACATTTCTTTTAAAAATTTACGACTATATTCCTCTATAAATATATTCCTTAGGAACCTACAATCACATTCTTCTAACCACTTACAACAATACTCCTCTAGGAGTCCATTCTCTCAAGAATCTCTATTCCTCCATAAATATGTTCTTCCATAAATATTTTTCTCCAAAAATTTGCTCCTTAAAAAGTCCATTCCCTTAAGAATTTTCATTCCACTAAAAATATTTTTCTCTAGAAAATTGCTCATTAAAGAGTCAATTTCTTCAAGAATCTCCATTACTCTAACAATATGCTCTTTCAGGAATTGATAACCATGATTTCTCTAAAAACTTCAACCTATCCAAACAACTTGTCAAACAAAATAGCCAAACAGCTCAAATTTGGCAAGTTACATCTCCAAAACTCTAGTTTGCCCAAATTACATAATATCAAAACATCATCATGGCTCAAGCCAAGTAAGCCTCGCTTTAAGACATTAAGGCAGCTAATGAGGTATGAAATTTGACTTTCTATAAAACGCACCAAAATGGGCATTCTCACAATCATGGGCTTTAAGGTCATATAGCCATTTGGTCTAACACTCTAAAGGTATATGTCCTATACTCATTATTTTCTACATATATAAAGGCTTTGTCCTTCGTAAAACGCAAATTCAATATCAATAGCATCAATATGTACACATAATTTTAAAAAGCGAGCTCATTTTTTCTCCAGACACTATACAATATGTCTAAAGTATCGATTTAACCATCACAATGGCCATGTCGGGTCAATCCCTGGTATCACCAACATTAATGTTTATGCTTTATACTTGCAAGATGCTAGAGGACACTACTGTTGTTTTTCCCACTTCCTCAAGTGGTTGAACAACAAATACAATCAATGCAGATGCTGAAATATCAAATATCATCCCTTATTATTTATATGTTTCTGGATTAAGTTTGAGAGTTAGTGGATTCCTGTATTTCTGAACACAAAAATAGGGTCATATTCGGTGTTCTGTCATGGGAGTTGACTTGAAGTTAGTCAAAGCTATGTCAACATACAGCTGAAATGTTTCAAACGGAAAACCTCAATGGATTTGCTGTCAAGTTATGCTGTTGGAACTTGATTATTCATGGGCCTGGCTGAGACTTTGATTTTGTTAAATTTTGAATGGGTTCAGCCCAAAGTCCAATTGATTTATTAGTATATTTTTTATTTTTATCTTAAAGTCCAATGGATTTATTGAGTCCAAAGAATTGGTTTAAAAAAAGTTTGAGACCGCGGCCCTGTGATGGGCAAATGTTCTTACACGAAACATTATTCCACGTAATCCCAACCATTACGCCTAAAGTCAACACTTTCCCAATGATAAACAATAAACAGGCGATCGTAGTATGTTCACTTGATCGTCATATTTTATTGATTTATTTTCTTAACATGTACGATGAGAAAAAATAAGTGATGGAATTTTTTATTTTAATCATGAGGTATAGTTGACTTTTAAAGCAAATAATTTGGTATTCACAAATACCAAATCTTAGGCACTCATTGGAACATTGTTCTGGGTTTATTTATAAATAAATAGGAAAAAAAAGTCTCTTCATAAAGATTGACTTGGTCAATAATGAGATGCATTTATCGAATTAAAAACTGAT